TTTGCTGCTTAAATAGAAAAATAAACAAATTAGGAGGTTGTGTTTGCTGTGCGACGTGAGGAGAGTGGGTCGTGTTACGTGTGTGTGATGCAGTGCGGCTCGAGTTGCCCGGCTGATCTAACTCACAGGCTCCATTTAGTTTTTATGTCATCGACCCAAATATGTGATGTTGTAAGTTAATTGCTGCGTGTGTGTAATTTCTTAAAATAGACTTCATGAAATCAGCGCTAGGAACAATATATTTAAACAAAGCTCCGACTTGGAATGGCAGCACAACTAATCTAATATCTGAGGGCTTATCAGATGTAGGGTCTCGCTTCAAACGGTCTGATCCAGGCCAAAAGTCTTAAGTCATATCAACTGAAATGCTTTCTTGCAGTCTCCTTTAGTACGTGACCAGTATTAGCTTGTCTTGTACTGCTGTTCTTAGGATAAATTTAATTACAGCAGCTTTAGCTAAAATATCCTTCAGTTTTTCATGATGTGAAACAGGATGTTGTCCTGTATCGAGACCTTTTCTCTGTACTCGTACTGCTAGCGATCAGCTTCACAGAGCATTCCTCAGCCATGTGCTTCTATGAAAGTTGTGTGATTTCTCCAGACTTTTGCTGCACAGTGTTCAATGGCTTTAGCTGCTTCTTATTTTAGAAGCGAGGAATTCATTCTCATGCCTTTTATCCAGATCTGTCTCAGAGGGCAGAGGAGAAACCTAGCCCTAACACACGGTGGACTCACTGTTTCAGACTCTGATGTGAAGAAGGGGGAAAATGGCATAGAAAGGAGAAATAAGAGGGAAAGTGCCGCTTATGATAGTGAATCAAACCCAGCCATTTCCTGTATCCCGAGTCAGAGCTGCTCACACACTTTCCATATATGGTGATGGTATTTGCATGGAGGGAAAGCCTGGGCTTATGGATCAGGAGCGGTGTTGAAATTCCTTTGTAGTAACTTCTGGGAAAAGGTCTGGTTCTGTTTTCAGATTTGACGAGAGAAAAGGAATCCACTGTCTTTTCTGCCCATTAATATTTTTTAGGGGAAGTTGTCACAATATTATATATTATATATATTTGCATTTATATAGATCTTGCCATGTGTGAGCTCCTGTGTATAGCTGTGCTCAGAGGAAAGTCTCCGGTTGCATGGTGATGATGTCGTTATGGCCACTATAGACTCCACATTATGCCAGATGTCCCCTGTGTGTGTGTGTGTGTATGTCTTACTCCATCACCACAGACTACGGTAACAGTAGTAAGATTTCCTGTAAACTGAGCCAAAGCGATTTCATACCATAAAACCTGAGAAAGTATGCTCAATATTATTTACCATAAAAGGTAATTGATTAGACATTAATGGTGCTGTGGCCTCATATTAAATTAAATGTTGAGTAATTAGTGCTTTGAGATGGACAGCTTTGTTGTGGAACAAATAAAAGGTCATGTATCCACAATTCATGTAATTAGGTCCTGAGTCACAGTTATTTACTGTTACACTGTTCTCTTATTTATTGTGCTCTTCACCTTATTAACAGGATGGCAGCAGAGTGGCTCAGTGGTTAACACCTTTGCCTATTAGCAAGACAGTCCTGGATTCAAACCCAGTCAACTGTGTGGAGTTCGCATGTTCTCCAAGAGCTCCCAGGTTTTCTCTGGGAGCTCCAGTCTGAAATACAGTAAATGCTAAACAGCCTCCTCATTTAAGGTGCTGCACTTAGCAACCTGCAAAAGGTTTTTGTTTGTTTGTTTGTTTACAGTCTGGTTCATGTGCAGGGACTCAATTTAATAAAACTAGCGGCTGCGTGCAACACTACACTAACTGTAGAGAAACATCTGCTTCATAACTTTTAAGTGTCTGGATTTAAACGAGTGGAAAAGTGTCTTTAATTAAAAGTATAAAATAAGCGTTTTTGGTTCAAAGTCACGCTCCAGCCAATCATCGCTGTTACAGTCGGCACAGTCAGCTGCTCCGGAGCTGCTCAGCAGCAGAAGAGTGTGATTCTTTCAGGCGTCTCCCTGATGTCTGTACGTGTGCAGCTACTCCCTCAGTCGCTGCTGCGAGTATGAATATTTACTTAGTATGCTTCCCTCATTAGACAAGACCCAAGAATATGTGACTCTTGCCTCCTACGTTTCCAGCTTATTACCTCTCCCTTCTTGAGTCGGCAGACTTTCATTCCACACATAGCAGAGAAAAATAAAAGATATCATGTTTACTTATTTTCTCTTTGCAGTTGAGCCAGCGCTGTCTCTTAACATTGGCATTCCTGATGGACAAAAGGTGCTAACCTAAATAAGAATGTCAGAGTGTGCGATGATAATTTCCTGAAATAAGAAGATCATCCGAGTTCATCCATCAACAATAACGAATAACACTTTGTGTCTTTACTGAGGTCTATTAAGGACAAAGGAACCTCGAGATGAACACAATGCATTCAGAAGGATCAGCCTCACTGTTATATGCTGTAATTTTACTGTACACAGTAATACTGCTGTTCTCCTATTTATATTGCAATTCTACACCCTTCCTCTGACATTTTTTTGGTGTGTAAACAACACCTTTTAAAAGGCTGCTCATCCAGAAAATGGAAGATTTTTCCCTTTAGGTGGTTTTTCCAGATATACATTTTACATATTTCTTTTTGTACAGTTTTGTAATTTACAGATAGAGAAGCAAATTCACTTCACCAAAAGAGGGGTTTTTGCCGCTGAGAGTGACATCATCCTGACACTGCTGACAATGAAAGAAGTCGGCATCTCTCTCAGCCACACCTAAAAGTTGTGAGGCCTGTTAATCCGTATGATGTCGAGAAGTAATCAAACAGCAATTTGCTGCTTCCCACCTAATGGAAAATACCCGCTGAATTAAGCTGAAAAGCCGTAAACATTCCTCACCATCTCCCATGCTATGACTGAGTCTGTAAAGTGGTTTTAATCTCGCTGCTGTAAAGAGACTGTGGAGGATATTAAATGCTTCTGGCTCTCCTCTTCCTTGGACATGGTAATTTAGAGTTAATAAGTGAAAGCACAATGACTTTCCACGGTTAATTTTGTACTGTAGTGTTACGTTGTGGCTTTTTCCCTTTGCTGTTTTTGTTTCTTTCCCTTTTCCTGCTGTAAAAGCAACTTTAGTGCTTGACTTTTATTCACATCTAGCGTGTACTAGAGTCTCTATGTGCAGGAAAGATTATACCATTCGGTGGAAATCCAGGCTTACAGTTTTAACGTGTTGTGTAACACTGGAATAAGCAGGACTCCGCGACCTCTAAACCCAAGAAACCAGAATGAAGTTGAGGTTTAAAGTTCAGCCCTGATGCTGGTACAGAGTTGAGAAAATAATTGACGGCCTTGCTAAACTTCATCTTTGTCCTTGGAAACCACAGTTGAGCAACAGTTATTGTATTCATAGTTTTGTTGTTGTTGCTTCACTTATTTTTAACAATATGCCACAATAAGACTGCCTTTAATCGAACCTCACTTATCCACGGAAAATATAGAGGCATATTATGTACTCAAGACAACAAATCAACCATACACTTCTGACACAGAAAGTATCATCACCGAAAGAATAAAAGAACTGGGATTAATATGTGTGTCCTTTAGTAAGTGTCTGTTAGCGTGCACTATCTGAAGACTCTCTGAAACCACAGGCTGAAACCACTCGTTTTGAATTCTGTATTTTGAGGACTAAGCGTTAGCATTTTGGCTGCTAATGGCTAGAATGGAGTTCACCGTTATCGACAAACGTGATAAGGATTACTTAGACTGTGCAAATATCTGCAAAATAGTACAAAGATAAAAGACTAACTGCTGAATTTGACTCACCAGAACTGAAGTGAGGGGACAAAGACAAAACGAAGTCATGCAGTCTGGTTTTGTTTGCACCATTCCCCACCAGTTTTGTAGTTGATTACTTTCTAATCTTCTCTCATCTCCAGCATCTTTATTTTCCATGACTTTTTTTCCCAGAGGAACCCACCCGAGGGATTAATAAAGTTCTATCTTATCTTATCTTTTTGTGTGCTAGATGTCTAACAGGAAGATGAAATCGACTGGCGACAAGTAGCCTAAATAATATCTTGCTCCAATGAGTCGAAATTGTGTTCGATTTCTTCCATTGCATGTAGACTCAGTAAAGCCTGGACTTCACTGCTGCTTCCTTTCTTTAAGACTAACTTTAAGAGCTGATGTTCACACAGCTGCTTTTTATTTTAGTGATGAGCACCAAAGCTGCATTTGACCAATCAGTGTGTCATGCTATGCATCTACACCACACCACACACGGCTCTAGGAGAAAGTTTCTATTCTACAAGCTAAAAAAGATGATCGGCGTGGTTCTGCCGCCACATTCTAAAATTACCAAAAAAGCTCCCGTGGTCCAAAAGCCCCTAATGATTTCTTTCTCTTGGCAGTATTGTTTAAAGCCTTGCTCTTCTGCTTCCTCTCCCCACATTTCCTCCCTAAAGAGAGAGGAAGTCAAGAGTTAACTTGTGTGTTGACTAATGTTCTGGATGCTGTCCGTGTCTTTGAGTGGTTCTCCATCCAGGAGAAAGAGACTCACCCCTCACAGCACATTGTGACCCTCGTCCACAGTAGCCAGACAATACTGACTCATAGCACATGATGAATGACCTCAGTTCTCCGGAGACTCACTCGACTAAAAAGAAAAACAGGGATGTAGAGAGAAGCCAGAGTTTTAGGATGCTGGATAAATGTTTAGAGCATCTTTGGCAACAAGCGCTCTTGGGAATCTGACCTCGCACTGTTTTCATGTAAACATGTTTCTCAGGTCAGGAAATGTGTGTAATATTTATTTTTCTGTGTTTTTTATTTGAGTGATAATGACCGCGTTCCACTTTCGTTTGATTGCCTGAGTGGTGTGGTTATGACGAGTGTGTTGAAAAGTAGCAGTGTGTCTGCGCATCCGTGACGTCAGACTCTATGCATGATCTCATTCTGTCTTTTTCAGTGACCTAACAGTTGGACATTGTGTGTGTTTTGTTTCAGGGGAGCCGGGGGCACTACCGGTACCACTGGCAGAGCCACAATGTCAAACACAGCGGCGTGGATGACATGGTGCTGCTCAGCAAGATCAATGAGGACGCCATCGTGGACAACCTCAAGAAGAGATACATGGATGACTACATCTTTGTATCCTTTGCTCACGCTCACAGTTCACACCCCAGTGAGGAATAGCGGAGCCCTTCTCTTTCCTGCTATACCCAGAATAGCTGACTGGTCATTCGCTGTGACATATTAGCAATGAGTAATAGGTCAGTGTTGGAAGGTGAGCGGGGAGGAAAGGGCGTCTTTGTATCTCTAACTCCTGCTCTTTCACCAGGCCTTTCACTGTGAGGGGGTGGTGGTGGTGAGAGCATAGCTGCTATCTTTTAAACAGCTGTATTTGATTGTGTTACGGATTTAAAATGATCTTCTTGAGAGCTATCGTTTTCATACACTGCATCACACAAATGCTGGGTTTAAGTTTAAAGTGCAGCTGTGGCCACACACACGCGCGCGTATTCACGACGTGAAACGAGATGAATGAATGAGTGCCTTGAAAGGCCGCTTCTACTGGCTCATTACATAAACATAAACCCTCACTGTCGCTCGGCCAGCGCTCGGCATTACCAAGTTTACCAAATGCAGGCAGTTTCAGGTTCGACAGCTCTGAGTCTCTCCTTTGATTTTGCTCAGTAAATATCTGTAACTGTGAGGTCTCCCTGCCAAGGCTGTGGGTCACTATGGGCCACCCACAATAGCTGCTTTATTTGCCTTGAGCTGCATTTTGGCTTCAAGGCATAAAACCTCACAGTGTTACATGGTCGGTCTATTCTCTGTCATTTGTAAGCACTGCATACTTATTTAGGCTCAGGCCTGATCGCCAAATACGCCACACTGCTGCACTGTTGCCATCTCTGTTGACGTCATGGCAATCGGAGATTAAGTGCTTTCTTTTTGACACAGTTTTCTCTTTGTGAGAGGTGATTGTAATTTGGTACCACTGTTTTGCTCCCACTCTTTAATCTCTTTAACTCACGATCTCACCAGACGTACATCGGTCCCGTGCTCATATCTGTCAACCCCTTCAAGCAGATGCCATATTTTGGGGATAAAGAAATTGAGATGTATCAAGGCGCAGTAAGTAGATCCAGCATCATCTTAAGGAAATAAGCTTTTTTCTGGGTCTCTGATGTTATTGAAGTGTCAGGCTGGTTTAGGCTGGTAATGGTCTGAAAGACAAAGGTTTTAAACTGGGTTAGATGCTGTGAAAACTTTCCAGCGAGCAGATGCTGCTGTCACAAACTTGACTCAACCGCTGGAGCAGCTTGGCAGCACCATCACAGAACATCCTGTTCGAGTCTGCCTCCTCTCTCTTGGCCAGCCCGTTGACAGCGAACTCGAATTCTCGAGCCAGGAGCACACTGAAAAGCTTTAAAAATTCTAACAGACTGTGAAAGCATCACACATGCCAAATTCAGATCACATTTGCACACAAGTGCACGGGGTTTATATTTGCACGGGTAGCCAGCTCAAATTATCGGGGAAAAGTTCATATTTGTTCACAAGTTGTTTGAAATAATCACAAAAAGGGACCAAGTGCAACTGTCTTGGCAAAAGGTCGCTATTTTGTTCTAGCATCACAGACAAAAATGACAACAGTGTGTAATTGTATTATAGTAATTTTTTTTTTTATGGTTTTTGTGGATTTTATAGGTCAGCCTGTCTCTGATTACATAATAACTTTATTATGCATAAAAGTTCGTTTAAAATTTCACTAGGTTTCCTTAACCGTCAGGGCACTGTAGTTCTCAGCAGATGTTACTATACCACGAGTTAATGGTGAATTAACTGTTTAATAGTTTTTATATTAATAAAATGAATATGAAATATAACAAAATAATAAAATATAAAATGAGTAAGCCTACCCCTGAGCAGTGGTGTCCAAACTTTTTTATCTGACATCCCTTCAGCTCAGTATTAAAGTATTTATGTCCTAATTTTTGCTACTACTCTTTTTTTTTTTTTTTTTTTTTTTTTTTTTTTTTTTTTTTTTTTGATTAGATCTATTCATTTCATGATATTTTGACCCGATTATTTTGCTAACAGGTTCAGCTGTTTATTGCACTAAAAACAATTATGGAGCCATGTTAGTAACTTACACTTTAACTGCTAACTACACTATTCGTGTAATTTATTATTAACGTTCCAGGTAGATTTTGCCAAAAATTTCATCATTTATTATTATTCTCAGCTAGCAGCTCTTCTTTACTGTTCATATCTTTAGCATACAGTTGGAAGAGTTTTGACTGTTTGACTGCGAGCTAAAATTTTACTTAAACAAGTCATGACTGCATAATATTATACAGGCTATTTCCGCTGTCTCCATATTTTATTTATTTGTATATTTTTTTATATTTTTTTTTTATTTATTTATTGCTCATGTATCTGTTTAAATCATTTGTCTTTAAATTTTCTGCACATTTCTTTAGAATAGTTGAGCTAATTTGGAGTATTTGTAGCTGTGGTGGAGAACCACTGATCTACTGAACATGTACAGCAACATGATACTGTGTGCATTTTGTCAGAATTTACACTTCCCATTTTTAAAATTGAAAGAATATATCACCCAGTAATACTGAATCCAACATAATGTTTATTTCATAAATAACTGCCTCTGTCAGGGTCAAGTTTGTCACATCCAGTTTCAAAGCACCAAGATGGCAACAGCTTCATAATTGGCTTTCCTAATAGGTGATGTCACAGAGGTTGTATTCATCTTTTATATACAGTCTATGGATGTTAAAAGTGTTACTTAGTGATTCATAAAGTGATCTAAGGAGCTTGAGTGACCTTATTGAAACTTATTGAGGTCAATTGATGCAAGATGTGAGTGGGCGTTAAGACACCTGGGAAGGGATCTCAAAACTGGATTAAAGATGGCAGACAGTTGGTGCCATCAGTTTTTGAAGTGACTGTTTGGTTTTTCCAACGTGGAGGTCTTAGCACTCCTTGGTGGACAGCACAGCATGCACTACATTGTCTAGTTTGCGTTGTGTCCGTGTTTTTGTCTGAGTGTGTGACTGGCTCTGAAATGCACTGGGATGGAAACTGGGAGTTTCTCTGATGAACCTGATCCATAAGGGATGATGATGTTGTTCTGTTTGTCCGTCTGTTTCTCGCTAGTTGGCGTCTGACCTTCTTTACTATCCATCTGTGCTGATTTGATGAAAGCCCAACTGGGATAATCACATGTATTAAAAGTTTTTTATTTTTTGTTTTTTACATGTGTGTGTTCCTTTTCTTTCCCTTATTACTTAGAGGGAATGTTTTCTGCCCGGTGTTGCAGGGTCCTGATCACTCCACGTTTGTGGCGGGAGTCAAGGAGTAGGTACTGGTCTGTGTGTGGGGGCTTCTGGTAAACTTCAATGCTGAGTTTTCCATTTTCCCCAATGTGCACAGAACAGTTCGAAATGGCAAACTGTTGTCCTTTGGGTCTTCCCTGGTAAACTTTATGTTTCTGTCCTCTGAGTTGATGTGAGCAGTGAAAGCTTCTACTTCTCAGCTTTTGATTTTGAACCAGATGTCATCTACATATCTGTACCAGTGGCTAGGTGCTGTCCCTTTGAAAGAGGCAAGAGCTTTACTTTCCACTTCCTCCATGTAAAGGTTGGCTACAATGGGTGACACTGGGGAGCCCATGGCATCCATGTTTTTGTCTACAGAAACCCTCGTTGTATTTAAATGTATATTCACTTGTCTAACCACTAATTTAATCTTTTATCCCCTCTCAGGCTCAGTATGAGAATCCTCCTCACATCTACGCTCTGGCAGATAACATGTACAGAAACATGATGATAGACCGTGAGAACCAGTGTGTCATCATTAGGTAAGACTTTGAAATTCTGGCCATTCTTTCTCTGCCTTCTATAGTGATCATTAGTTAACGGCATGTGACAAGGAAATTATTTTCAGAACCAGAAAAGCTGCATTTTTATTTAAATTATCCATTCAAAATAGAGCCTGATAAACTGTACTGTACATTGGGGACTGATCTCGGTGCTTTTAAAAAAAACAGTAGATTTGCTTTAATCTAAAATAATTAAAAAGATCATAAATCAACCAAAATATGACCTTATCCATATCTTATTAAGATACTATAGTTGCCCAGTTTATTGGTTTCAACTGATATTTTTGTAACCTTCAGCACTTTATATTAGCGTGTCGAATGTCCAGGATGTGACAAAATGAGACAAAAGCTGGAGACGATAATCTGTGCAATGTGATCTGTGAGATCATAACACTGAACTGCTCTGCAGGTCATGATAATAGACGGGCGAGAGGACAGACCTAACAGGTCTGACCACATCATTCAGTAGAGCTGAGTCAGTGTTTGTGTGGTGTTTTTCCATCATACTGTTTTCAGCTTCAGTGAATTACAAATTTAAAGAGAAAATAAAATGTGCCAGTTCTCAAATAGGAAAACAATGATTTTACAGCTTGATCTGGCTGCTAAATCCTCAGGATGTGAGATGGAAACAAAGCAGCCGCTATAGCAGCTATTTTTGAAAAGCTTCCTGTTTTTAAAAAAAGAAAAGAGGACGCCCGCATGGTTCCCTCACTCCCTAGATTTAGAGGATTTTAGATGCTTTCGCAGCCTGTTTGAGTTTCCCGATGAATGTTTCTGACCTACAAAGCTGAGAAAAATGTGGTGTCATTAGGGGGTTTTTATGTCATGGCCCACTCATCTGAGCAGCGTGGTTGCTATAGTGCTTACCTCATGATGAATGAGCCCTGCTTCAGCACTTTCGGCTGTTGTTTGGACAGCCAGCAGTTGCTCGTTCAGTTTTCCACATAAAGGCACCGAGGTGGATTTTGTGATTGACTAAATCAGCAAACAAAAGCATGGAAGTGGTTTTATGATGAACCAGGTCTCAGCAAACAAAGGCTGCTGTGAACTGCTAACCGTGCAGCGTGGTCAGCACCCACCTGTGTTAGCAGTTTTTAAAAAAAATATTATATTAAGAATCAGAAATGAGGTTAATGCAGAAAAAGAGCGGCTGAGCATTTCTTTTATTTCTCTGATATTGTAACAGCATTTGAATATGTGACGATTTGGATTTAACAAAGTGTTTATTTCTCTTTTATGATACTTTTTGTTTTTTATCGAGGACCAGTTCCTTTACATGTGCTCTAAATACAGATATACAGATATTTCAGAAATACACGATTTCACAATTTCTAGGCAGTTTTGCTTGATTTTGTTCTTTGAAGCCATCTTAAATTTCAGTCACATGACGAGTGAACAACAGCTTCTTAAACCCAGTCTGAGAGAAAGCAGGCGTATTCATTGCTCGGCTGGCTTTTTACCAGGAATCTGCTCTTTCCTTTTTTTAATGATTGTGCGTGGGATCCTTTCCACGCATGATTGTGCCTTTTCATCGGTGTCAACAGAGCAGGTTGCTGTTATAATTAGATCAGTTTGAGAAGAACAATGTGTGGTGAGAGATTGTCGAGATCATTTTAATGCTTAAAATATGCACGTAGTCATTGGGTGTGGCCTGCACTGTGAAAATGCATTTATGTTAGGCTTTTAGATATTTCTGCAGCTGCATGTGGAGACGCATGAAAATGAATGTCCTCGTGTGATCGCTCAAGGTCTCAGGTAGTCAAATTCTAGCTGTATATTTCCTGCACTTTCTTACAAAGAACATGGTGTCATAGGAAAAACTTTAGGGTAGCCTAAACAACAAGGATAAAGACACGCTAATTAAAATGTAAAATTTTAAAAATTTGCTTAATTTCACCAAATATCTTAAAGTAGAGGTCAGCGACTGAAACAGGGGTCCTGTGAGCTATGACTTGAAGAGAACGTGGGTCTTAAAGTAGCAACGGTCCCTCTGCCCTCCTTCTCCTTAGTATCAGTAACAAAAAGAGATGTTTAGTATGCAGGCAAAAGTTATAGGAGGTGATGTATACAAACAATGTAAAAACATACAAAAAAACCAATGCACTGACATTATCACAGGAAAATCTTGTCAAACAGACTGTACATGTGGCTCAGCGAGTTCTGTGGGAATGCAGCGAACACCTTGTTGGATTCAAAACTGCCAAAACTAGACTGTTGACTGAACATCCTTCACATAGCTCAAGTCAGTAATAATTTATGAAAGATAATGCTTAACGCTCCCTCCCTCTGCACTGCATTGTGTAACTCATGTCCTTGTTTGGGTAATAAATCACTGCAGAAGTCAGAAATGTCTTCAGCATTCAAACGCCACAACAATGAGACCTGCCCCTTTGGGGGTTTAAATGGGCCTCAAAGTCTCACTGCAGCTTGTGCTGGAAATACCTCTTTAGAGGGTCGATTGCAGGAGGAGAAACTATGCTCTCAGATGCATATAACTAAACGATCAGTTTCCTACTTGATTCCAAACTGCACAGCGAGGAAGTCCAGGCAAAACTTTAGCATCTGGTACAGGCTGGGAGGTGTATATAGTAGGATGTGTGCAGCTATACTGAGACTGTGTAATAGAGCAGCTCCCATGACTTCCTTTGGCAGTCTCAAACAGTCTGCAGCTGTGTTTCTCACAGCGGCTGTACCATCCTGACTCTACTTTAAGGCACAGAAACAAAAAAACAGACCCAGCCATCATCCACTGCCAAACCACATAGGTCAAAATAAGTATGACCCCGGCACAGTGAAAGGCAAGGAGAGGAAAAAGACAAGAGAAGGCTGAGGGAAAAGATACGAAGGAAAGCTATGTAAACAAAACGGGATAAATGTCGTTATTACTGCAGCGTTCATCCGCCTGCACGTGCAAGGCGGTAAATGTAGCTGTCTAGCTGTGACTGCTTATTTAAGAGATTCAGTTTTACTTTCTGAGGTGGAAATTTGCACGAAATGTGTCTCACACACACACAAACATATTCTCAACCAGTTTTGATCTGGATTTTTGTCTGAATGAAGAGTTTGTGCAATTCAAATGACACGTGTTTAAACAGTTACACATTTTTTTTCAGACTCTTTATTCACTTAAACATAGAGTAAGATACGTTGCAAGTCTCTTTAAGTAGGTTTACATTTGGGACAAAAGTACTGTGTCCAATTGCTTTTTACCCCTCAGCTTTGGGTACTATGTGTTTAAATCTGGGTACATTTGCTACATAGTGATTTTTTTTTTTCTATATTGATTTAAATGTACTCCAAATGAAACCTGAGGACTGAACTTGCAATCTGGAATCTTTTATTCCAGGTTGATGCCGCTAAAATAGAAACTCTAAAGGATAAAAATGTTGTAACTGTCCAAATACCGGCTGTCTGGACAAAGTTTACCATGTTTAGTAGTCCAAATTATCCTGTTTATTGTAGTGTGTCCAACCAAAACAAACACATGTAAACAAACCATGTACCAGATTCTGTTTTCAAATATGGATGTAAAATATGTGTTTATTCTTAGAGAAGAGACAAAAGTCTGCACTGGGACGTATTCAGGAAGCTATTTAATGCACAGGCCGAGCTGTTCCTAAGCTGGCTTATTGTTAAATATCAGATCACATGCAGGTGGGGTATGACATAAGCTTTAGACTGATAAGCCACCAGAACAAACGGGAACAAGGAAAATTCATTTAAAACCCACAATAGGTGAACAAAAATCAAAACCAAAAAACAGTTTTGGGGCGGGTGTTTTTTAGTCACTGAGTGAATAAAAACTGTGCTTGTGTGAGACAGAAAACAATGTCTCAGTGAGCGTGTGCCGCAGGCTATCAGGTGTATCTGAATTTGGCTTGTGTTTGAGAAAGCATGTGATGAAGTCTTTATCTGCTTTTCAGCGGCGAAAGCGGAGCAGGGAAGACTGTGGCAGCCAAATATATCATGGGCTACATCTCCAGAGTGTCAGGCGGTGGACCGAGAGTGCAGGTGAGAGGAGATGCCTTTTGTCCTTCTCGGCAGTTTGTAAATGAGGAATGCATATTTGAAATGCTTAAGTGCACATGTGAACGATAACTAAGTTAAACCAGAATGATTTGTGATACTAACTGCACACGTGTGCAGTCAAACCACCTGTTGCTGTCTCATTCCTGCATTGTCTTTCACGCGTTGCTCCAGTCTTTGTCTTGTCATCCTCATCCTTTGTGTCCTATTGTGAGCCCGTCAGCAGACTCTTATACACCAGCCCCCTCTTGCCATCTGGCACCCCTCAACCCCCCTCAAATAAAAAAAGAAAAACAAAAAAAACAGCAGATGTCCAGTTTCTAAGCGCGATAAAGATCTGAAGTTTGATGAGGAAATTCCTGCACCGTGATGGCAGTGGGAGTTTTATAATTAATCCACTCAGAGCTGCTTCCACCAAGAAAACAATCAGAAATAATTTTCGGGCTTAACCACTTAGTCCCAGAGAGCAGCCATTTGGCTTTTCTACCTTTAAATTCAACGATAGACTGCTTACACTAAATCAACTAAGACAGCTTTATTATATAACTATGATAATGTTAACTGTACTTCATCCCTCAAGATAATATCACTGTGTCAGTTCAGCTGTTTTAGCAACATATATTTCTCAAAGCTTCTACATATCTAATTAGGGCTGTTCGATATAACGATATATATCGGATGACGATATAAAAACTTCTATCGTTTCCTAATACGCTATCGTTTGTTTCGTGGTGTCGCAAAATAAACTGTTTACAGCAATATTTTTTCATCGTTCTGATGGTCACTGTAGTGGCTATATTAATTTCTTAAAGTTCTCTCTTTCTCTTATATTTAATATAACCACACTACAGAGGACACGCGCCTGTTTTATGCGTTGTTGTTAGCAACAACGACGGTAACACCATCGCGTGAACGCTTGTTTATGTTCCACATAAACCTTTCACAATAAAGCTCAAGATCCTGTTGAGACTTTTCAAAATAAACTGAATCACGTGAAAGAGCAGATTATTTATGGATGAGAATTAAAAAAGAGCCGCCAGGTGCTAAAAAATAAACCATAGACTAAAGCGTTAGAACAGGCTTTTCCCCGCAGCACGCCGTGTAATAAATACTCACAAAGAAAACGTCAGCTGTTACAACTTATGTCTAAAAATGTATAGTTTCATGCATCTGTTAAAACACTGGACTCCAGCTACATGACGCGCAGCTGGAAACACTTCCCGCAAGACGAGCTGCCCGAGATTCACAGAATTTACAGAAAATGTTACATTTTTGTGATTTATATCGTTATCGGGACGACAGAATTCTTATATCGGGATATGAGATTTTGGTCATATTGCACAGCCCTATATCTAATAGTACTTGTACTTATTCAGATTTTTGGACATCTGGAGATCATGCTGGAATAAAACATCAGTGCAAGAAGAACTTCAGTGTAGTTAAAAGGCTAAACTCATATACAAGAATGTGTGTCAGCGAAGGATGTTTTTCTTTAGTACAGGACTGATAAAAGAAAATTTCCAAGAAATACCACTCAGCCTCTGTGAACAATACTGGAAGTGGGGAATATCTCTGTCTGCTGTACTGATTTAAAACTCATGTGTTTCTGACACACACATGGCTCATAGGGAGGATAATGCCCTCCAGATTTTGTGTGTCTGTCTGTAGATGTGCATGTGTGCGCCATGCTGCTATCTTAGTGGAAACTTTCAGAGAGTCGGGGTGTGAAGTGTGTGGTTTCTCTACCTGCTGCCTCATCTGTTTGTGATGTAGCATCAGCTCACTGAATCTGTCTCCTCGCAGCACGTCAAAGACATCATCCTGCAGTCCAACCCGCTGCTAGAGGCCTTCGGCAACGCCAAAACTTTGAGGAACAACAACTCCAGCAGATTTGTAAGGCTGCTTCTCTCCCCCCCTTTAACATACAGTGTAATCAAATTTAAAGTGAAATTCCCACTCGTAGTCACAGACAGGGACGCAGCTGCCGTGGAACAAGCTGAGTCCTCAACTTTTTTTTTCGTGGCATACGTTCGAGACCTTTGAGATTTACAGTAACAGCTTGCCTTCTGTTTTCTGTTTTATTTCATGAGGCATCAAACCTCGTGTGTGTCCCGGTTAACCAGAAGTGCTGCGACGACACACTGCACAGAAAGACACACACGCAGAAGCGCTGAGGCTCACTAAGAAACTTAACCAATGAAAAATAAGCTTCACATAGAAAGTGCAACTCCCCCGAAATTTTTCAACCGAGTCTGTTAGTTAAATTCATAAAGAGCAGATGCCATAAAAGATATTCTTAGCTTCAAATTTAAAAGAGCAAAAATAGTTTGGCACTAATTGTGTAAGGTCACTACATTTGAAGTGCTTTTTTTGAATAATGAGACATTGCATACAGGCTAGTCTGGAGTTGAGAGTAAGACAAAAAGCTGGATCATATTTCTATTTAAGCTGACACGCACACACGCGCACACACACACTGCTAGTAGCCTTAGGACAGCTAGGTGCCAGTATTTTCAGACCGTATACGCTGCCTTTTAAGCTTTATTACAGTTGGCTGCAATACAAAAAAAAATGCTTTGATCCATCAGGGGAAATACTTTGAGATCCAGTTCAGCTCCGGCGGTGAACCAGACGGCGGGAAAATCTCCAACTTCCTTCTGGAAAAGTCACGTGTTGTCATGAGGAATCCTGGAGAAAGGAGTTTCCATATATTCTACCAGGTGAGGCCTTTTTTCTTTTTTGTAATAGTGAATGGAACACATGTGACCTGAGAAAAGGGCCTGCGAGGTGATTTCAGGACAGTTTGGGTTAGAAAAGCAGTCTGTTTTTGTCGTGCATGGCCAGAGGTTCTCATTTTTCGATAGTACAGCTTTCTTTTTTTTCTTTTTTCTTTTTTTGAACTTTTATTCCCAAAAATAGCAAGGCAATTCACAGCAACAACATGATCTGAGACCAAATCTGCAGTATATAATGGTGAGGGTAATTCGAAAACTTAATTTAAAAGGGAAAAACACACATATACATATACATACATACCTATACTTACATACCTAAACACAGATGTAACAGTGTTAAGGCTTTAGTGTCATGTCAAGATATTTTATAATTTTTCTCAAAGGTTGGCCCTTTTAGTTGTAGTTGGGCTGTTATCCGTTCCATTGTATAGACATGTCTAGTTTTCAGAAGCCAGTACAGCTTTCTTTAAACTGTGCGTTATATATTTTGTACACACAGTTAGAGACTTAATTTCTGCTCAACAGTTGATAGAAGGAGCCACCTCGGAGCAGAAGAATAGCCTGGGAATCACAAGCCTGGATTACTACAGTTACCTCAATCAGTCTGGCTCCTACAAAGTGGACGACATCAACGACAAGAGCGACTTCCAGGAGACAATGGTACGGTCAGACTCTTTCTGTCTGCTTGGGAGTCAGTGGTGTTGTGTTTGTCTGTGAATCTCATACCAGTGTTCATGTGGCTCACAGTCTCTCAATAGCACTCCTCTCTTGCTTTCTTTTTTCCTTTTTTTTTTTCAATGATCTCCTTCTGTTTTTGTTTACCAGCGAGACCACAACAGGAGTAATTAGAGAACATGAGCTAGGTACCGCAGGAGTGAGTAAACCCCCACTGTGGTCCTGATTTAGCATGCTATTTTTTTCCCCTTTTACTTCCCCAGAAAGCCATGGATGTGATTGGCATTGCACCAGAGGACCGCTCCATGGTGCTTCAGATTGTAGCCGGAGTCCTGCACCTGGGAAATATCAGCTTCAAGGAATCGGGAAACTACGCTGCTGTGGAGAGCGAAGAGTGTAAGTGGTCTTGCACAATGAGCTGATCACCAGTCACTAAAGATTTTTGTCACCAAAAGGAAACAGAGCGCTAAGGCCTGAGTCTGAGTAGTGGTAAATCTTTGTTTTTTGCTGGGTTCTTGTCCTGACCTGCCCTTCTCTGGTTTTGGAGGGTGTTTCTTTTTCACCACTTTCACTCCCTAAAGTTTTATTGTGTTAATGCAGGGCTGCAGCCAGCTGTCTGGAGTACTTCAGGCCATGCAAGATCACCAGAATATAAAATGCTATTATTGAAGGTCTGGACGTATTTCGTCAGAGACTAAAATTACTTGGAAAAATGCTTTTTTTTGTCGGTCCCCCTTCTCCCTTCCTCTTTTCTTTTTCTCCTCATGCTGCGTCTGTATGATGCAGGGGAGAGTGCAGTTGCCAGTCTACAAAGCGCTGGTTTGTTCAGGGCAGACGTAACAGCAGCATTTCATAATCTAAGCCTTTCCTGCTCCTTTCAGTCTCCTTTCCTGTGTGCTTTAACTGCAGTGTGCTGTTGTATTACTGCTCCTAATATAAAACTGCACACGCCACTTCAATATTAACTACTAAAACTAAAAGTATAAAGATGAAAGTAGGCAGACTGTAAATAGATGATGGACACTGCCACTGCCAAATCACCCAGCATTTGGTCTTTTTTTTTTTTTTTTTCTGAGCTGTGCTAGTTTTAAAGACATGAGGGTATCATCTCTTTTCACCATTAATATGTTGACATTAATTCAGTTCAAAAATTAGTAATGCCTTTTTGGACTGAAGAACTCCATCCATCACTTCAATTCATTGTCACAGAAGTCTGTCCCAGCTGCCATGGGGCGAGAGGCAGGGTACACCCTGAACAGGTGGCCAGTCTCCCACAATGACTAAAAAACTCCCACGGCTCAAATTTAACATGCAAATATCCAAGAGTTGATATTGAGGAAATGAAGTGAGCTGTCACAGGACTGTTCATGTCTTACTGGAGTGAAGCTGCAAGCTTTGAAAACGTCTGTACTGACATCTACATTATGCACTGCTGCTTTGACTAACAAATCTGCAGGAAAACACAGAGTTACATTAGAGTTACATTGTTTACAAAGTTCACAGAATGTGTCCACACCGCCAGCCGTCATATGCAGCCATTACCTTTATTACCAAACACAAAGGACGACTTTTCCTCACGGTTTAATCGGGCGTATGGTCAGTCACACCCTAACGTCCCAAAAGGGGGGGGCTTCTAGAGTGGTCTGATGCATTCTCAGACGCAGCGAGTCTGCAGGCCTGAGAGCTATTTCCTTTTAGGGGAAGTGAGTCACTGTAATAAGGCAGGGAGGGGCTCTCAGGGGACAATATCAACGCCAGGTCGGGGCTTGATCTGTGGTGTGTGCCACACTTTTTATTGAAGAGTTCAGTAGCAGCTATTTTTATATTTTACGCTACACTCAGCTGCAGTACAAAGCTCATGAAAAAGGCAGATTTATTTGAACCCTGGATTTCAGTGTTTTCTGTGCTAATGCAAAGGTTGCACCTTTCGAAGAGTCCAGTGCTGTGTATTGATTTGCATGCTGGTTTTCACAGAAGTGTCTCGTAGTTACTTCAGAGAAGGATCCAATCCTTACATGCTGCTTTTCTCAGCTCATCATAGCAGTGCAGTAGCAGAATATTATAACAAAAGACTGTCAAGCAAATACAGTGGTTATGATCATTTTCATTTAATCAGCTGCTTGTTTTCTTGATTAATGATTAAAACTATAAAATGTCAGAAAACCTATCGTTAAAAAGACATGCTAATTGCTCTTTCCCTTTGATCTACAGTGGGGCAAAAAAGTATTTAGTCAGCCACCGATTGTGCAAGTTCCCCCACTTAAAATGATGACAGAGGTCAGTAATTTGCACCAGAGGTACACTTCAACTGTGAGAGACAGAATGTGAAAAAAAAATCCATGAATCACATGGTAGGATTTGTAAAGAATTTATTCGTAAATTAGGGTGGAAAATAAGTATTTGGTCACCTCAAACAAGGAAAATCTCTGGCTCTCACAGACCTGTAACGTCTTCTGTAAGAAGCTTTTCTGTCCCCCACTCGTTACCTGTATGAATGGCACCTGTTTGAACTCATCATCTGTATAAAAGACACCTGTCCACAGCCTCAAACAGTCAGACTCCAAACTCCGCCATGGCCAAGACCAAAGAGCTTTCGAAGGACACCAGGAAAAGTATTGTAGACCTGCACCAGACTGGGAAGAGTGAATCTACAATAGGCAAGCAGCTTGGTGTGAAAAAATCAACTGTGGGAGCAATCATCAGAAAATGGAAGACATACAAGACCACTGATAATCTCCCTCGATCTGGGGCTCCACGCAAGATCTCATCCCGTGGGGTCAAAATGATCATGAGAACGGTGAGCAAAGATCCCAGAACCACACGGGGGGACCTGGTGAATGACCTGCAGAGAGCTGGGACCAAAGTAACAAAGGTCACCATCAGTAACACACTACAACGGCAGGGAATCAAATCCCGCAGTGCCAGACGTGTTCCGCTGCTGAAGCCAGTGCATGTCCAGGCCCGTCTGAAGTTTGCCAGAGAGCACATGGATGATACAGCAGAGGATTGGGAGAATGTCATGTGGTCAGATGAAACCAAAGTAGAACTTTTTGGTATAAACTCAACTCGTCGTGTTTGGAGGAAGAAGAATACTGAGTTGCATCCCAAGAACACCATACCTACTGTGAAGCATGGGGGTGGAAACATCATGCTATGGGGCTGTTTTTCTGCCAAGGGGACAGGACGACTGATCCGTGTTAAGGACAGAATGAATGGGGCCATGTATCGTGAGATTTTGAGCCAAAACCTCCTTCCATCAGTGAGAACTTTGAAGATGAAACGAGGCTGGGTCTTCCAACATGACAATGATCCAAAACACACCGCCCGGGCAACAAAGGAGTGGCTCCGTAAGAAGCATTTGAAAGTCCTGGAGTGGCCTAGCCAGTCTCCAGACCTCAACCCCATAGAAAATCTGTGGCGGGAGTTGAAAGTCCGTGTTGCTCGGCGACAGCCCCAAAACATCACTGCTCTCGAGAAGATCTGCATGGAGGAATGGGCCAAAATACCAGCTACTGTGTGTGCAAACCTGGTAAAGACCTATAGTAAACGTTTGACCTCTGTTATTGCCAACAAAGGTTATGTTACAAAGTATTGAGTTGTATTTTTGTTATTGACCAAATACTTATTTTCCACCCTGATTTACGAATAAATTCTTTACAAATCCTACCATGTGGATTCATGGATTTTTTTTTCACATTCTGTCTCTCACAGTTGAAGTGTACCTCTGGTGCAAATTACTGACCTCTGTCATCATTTTAGGTGGGGGAACTTGCACAATCGGTGGCTGACTAAATACTTTTTTGCCCCACTGTACATCCCAGTCTTTCCCCCAAACTATTCTCCATAACTCAAGAGATATTTAATTAAAGATTACAAACGACAAAAGCAAAATATAATCTCATCTTATTTTAGGAGCTGGAAAATAGTTTCAGCTCTGCAATGATAAATTCTTAAATAGCCAAATCATCATAGTCCTTAAGAAATATATATTTGTATAGACTAACACCTATAAAGTCACAACTGCTTTCTTTTCCCTCCTTTCCTATAATAGTTTTAGCCTTTCCTGCGTTTCTGCTGGGGATTGACCACATCCGTCTGAAGGAGAAACTGACGAGCCGAAAGATGGACAGCAAGTGGGGAAGCGCGGTGGAGTCCATCGACGTGACGCTGAACGTGGAGCAGGCGTGTTACACGCGTGACGCTCTCTCCAAAGCCCTGCATTCACGTGTGTTTGACTTTCTGGTCGAGGTATGATTACATGCATACAGTGCTTTGCGAGAGTAAATGCAAAGTGCTGAAGCCGGTTATATTTTGGTAATAACAACTTTTAATCTTTTAATTTCAGTCCATCAACAAAGCCATGGTGAAGGATCATCAGGAGTTAAATGTTGGCGTGTTGGACATTTATGGATTTGAAATTTTCCAAGTAAGTGTTTTTTGGACATGTCTCAGGCTGACACATGGCTGCAGGAATGCAGCAATGTGAAAATGAGATTAACTGCTATTAGCAATGAGCATTTAAACAGATTTAACACAAAGGATGAGGCTAATGTAAAAACTATGTGGATTAGGTCCCATCTCTTAATTGAGGCAGCAGTCTTCAGCATGCTTTTTTAATCTGATTACGTCATTGTTTACTTTGTTTAATGAGACTGGACATTTGTGGTTTACAAACAGCTCTTTAGCCCTTTTATCGACGTTGCTATGGTGACCGTGACTCTATCTCTGATAGCTAAACGACATCTAATCTGATCCAGGTTTGGCTGTTTTTTCAGGTTAAAGAGTTTTTTGTATGCACAATATAAGAAAAGGTCAGCTGCATTCTGGTGACTGCAGGTTTTTAGAAAGGAAGCTGCAGACCTCTGTAGCCTAAAGTTCAGGCTGAAGGTCCATTGTATGTGCTGCGAAATGCACAATGCTCCCCTTCCTTTAACATCAGGCAGTCAGTACATCGCTCCCCGTCCAAACAAAGCCCATTGAGCTTAGAGGATATCCGCACCCCACTGGACATGCAGCTCATTTAGGCTATACAGATTTTATTCACCCTGTTGTCTTCTTCAGAAAAATGGGTTCGAGCAGTTCTGCATCAACTTTGTGAATGAGAAGCTCCAGCAGATATTCATCGAGCTGACTCTAAAGGCGGAGCAGGTAATGTTCCTCCACACTCTTCTCTTCTTCCCCCCCCCCCCTCACTCCATTTTTGTTTTTTTCCACAGATGCTTTATTCTCTAATGCTGAACTTTTTTTCCATGTCTTGCAGGAGGAGTATGTGCAGGAGGGCATCAAGTGGACTCCTATAGAATACTTCAACAACAAGATTGTGTGCGATCTCATCGAGAGCAAAGTAAATAAACTCTGAATAGGACGTTTGTTGCTCATACACAATATACACATTTCTTTCTCTTTAATATAGAAAAAAAAGCCTTTCATTTTCATTCACCACAAACATGACAGAAAATCTTCGTAGGACCTCAGTTATTTAAAAAAAATGCTGCCTATGTGATGGTGAATTTATTTTTGGGCGGAGGTTGATTTAAATATCCACCCTCTTATCATCAAGAAAGTAACAGATTACTTTGTAAAGTAAAATGGTATGGAGATTAGATCAAACCTTGGACCTGTATAGTAGAGGAGAAGAAAAATTAAATCGATCACTCTAAAAACATAATAGACATCAATGGACTCCTCCACAAACAGATATCTTTTTAGAGGCTAAAACAATATAAACCACAATAAACCAGGGTGTGATCATTTGTTAATCTTGTTTACTAGTATTGTAAACTGAGTTGCCCAACTTACTGCCAAGTTTCTGCTCTGTTGCCATGACTCGCAGCTTAATACCCTCAAACGCGCCGACATGCCTCTTAATTTGATTTATATGTCCTACTGAGAGGTCTAATCCATGAAATCCACAACAAGGGTTTTAACACAAGGCTCCATCTGAGAGGAGCCGGGGATCTGCATCAGTGGCTGACAGTTTAGTTCTTTGGCTAATGTGCTGACAAATTTACGCGTGTCCTTTTAAAACTGCTCTCCGAGTCTGAGAGGCTGTTGCCGCGATCCGGTCTGAAGGCCGATGATCAGCCTCGGGCATAATGAAAAAAAAATGGGAACAACCACTGTGAGAGTAGTCTTTAGGACATGCTGTTTTAAATGAGCTCTGCTGTTTTCATTTTAAAATGTGTAAAATGCCTTTTGTGTGTTTGATAAATACCAAGCCGTAGTAATTTGTTTCAGCCTTGAAATCGAAGCTTTGTGTGGTTTCCTATGTTCCACCGCTCAAATTTTTCGTGCCACTTGATTGAAATTGGTGCAGAGTCCTTTCAGATCTACATATAAGACCACAGTTGTGTATACATGTGCTGCAGATCAGACAGAAAAAGGTCAAAAAAAGATCTTCAAGCTATAACAGATCAAGAACCTAAAGTTTACCGTGATCCCCAGAATCCTCCTGGCATCATGAGCATCCTGGATGATGTTTGCGCCACCATGCATGCCGTGGGCGAGGGGGCCGACCAGACGATGCTGCAGAAGCTCCGAGTCCAGATCAACACCCATGAACACTTCAACAGCTGGAATCAGGGCTTCATCATCCACCACTATGCTGGCAAGGTCAGTTTCACTTTGATCTGTTTGTTTGCTTTCCCTGACAACTGGCTTCAAACGGCAGTCATCTGCATTTTGAGCGGGAAGCCATTCAGCTTTTTGCAGACATAAAACGGTAATGTACACCGCGACATAGTGTGTGTATATATACAGTCAAGCATCTCTGTGCACTTGTCTTCGTCCCTGACGTCAACTTTGAAAGAATATTTTCTGCATGTAGTCTCCGGCTGTAGGAGACCAACAAGTCCAACACCATAAAAAATGGCATTTTTTTAATGGAGTTGGAGCTGTTCCTCCGTGCTTGTATGATCTGTCATAAATACTAGTTATACGCAGCTGGTTCCTCCATCTGTGTCGTCATTTTGTCCTCAGAAGGTTTCCACTTCTAAAGTAGCTTTGTGCACCATCTCTGCCATTCTCCATTGTCTGTCTGTGGAGGAATTTACCTCCCCGTATTAAACCTGCTCATCGAGCAGAGCATTACAGCTCACTAGAAGTCTTCTTGTGGATTATTTTAGGTTTTCGGTGGTCTGAGTAGAGGTCGCCTCGTGTCATTCTCCAGATGTGTGGTGGCCTCAGCCTGGCACACATGCCGTAAGCTTAATGAGCCGTGCCATTAAGGCTCGAAAGGCTCCCATGCCTGTGCTCAGAACATTCCTCCCGTCTCAGCCTACATTACAGGAGAAATAATGGAGTTTAATTTACACACTTAAACCACTGCTGGTTTTATAAGGATGCTAATCCTGGGACGTGTAAAGCTCGGACCCTGAAACCCTTCATGTTTTGTTTTTGTTTCTCTCCCATAAACTTCAGGGCATTTATTTAGGCCACAATATGAGTTACACTTTTTTATTTTCACACAGGGGTCTTCTTCCATTTTGCTCAAGGTTTCATAGAGTTCAGTTTTCTCTTCTTTTGATAAAGATGACTCCTGAGAAATCCTTCTGTGTGTCTCTCCTCCAGGTGTCCTACGATGCGGAAGGTTTCTGTGAGAGGAACCGAGACGTCCTCTTTACCGACCTCATCGAGTTGATGCAGAGCAGTGAAATGTAAGTAAATCCTTTTTGCACATTGCACCGACATGTGGCGAGCATTTCTACGGCGCTCGCTTAAAGGGAGTCGTCTTTGTGATCATATGTTTATAATTGAAACCAGCTGAATAAGAGCTTCAGACGTAGCAGTGCATCTGGAAACTGGTGGGATGTAGCAAAAGTGTGCAGGGTGGGGTTATGCCGTGCCCTCTACCCTCAATCGCATCTGCTTGCTGTCCCATAATGCGGTTTTCGGGGTCTACTCAATCTGCCCTTGCAAGTGCAGGTTGTTTGTGGGGTTGTGTCTGTTCCCCCTGTGTTATGCTTTCTTGGGCTTTTTTTGTGTGTGTCGAAGTGGCCATCTGTGTAAACAGCCTGTGTTGTCTGCGCAACCCCTGCAGGTCTCCTTGTAAGGCGCGAAAGGAGGTTATACCAAAATCCCTTTAGGACACATGCTAGAAGATGCGTTGATGCATTTGACACGACATGCAAAGATAAAGAGTCGTACACAGTCACACAATGAGGCGGAAGGAAGCACACCCATTCCTCCAAGCAGCAGGTCCAAACGGAGAAGAAAGGACTGACCAGTATTGTCAGCTGGACAGTATTAGAAGTCTTTGAATCTATTTGTACTGTTGATCCTTTCTTCTGTGTCCAAGCACGGAGTCAGAAGTTTAAAATCAAACAAATCCCAATGTGGGGGAAAACCAGAAAGGGTGTGGGATTTACACCAACATGAAACAGAATTTTGAAATCATAAACTAATCAAATGTTAGCCAGAAGTGTGCGTCAATTTAAGATCGAGTTTTACCTGCATCATAGTATCTAAACAAGCCTTTGAAAAAGCTCATTAAATAAATTGGAACTTGACAACATAATAAAAAAACAAGACATCAGCAGTAAGTTAAATAAACTACATTATTAACTAGGCAGGGCTTTAAAAAGGAGTGAGGAGGAAATATAAATTATTATCTTATGATTTTCATAAGGGACCATAAATGACAATGACTTCCCGAAGCTAAAACACACACACTGTTCCTTTATTGTTACTCCACCGTGTGTGTGTGTGTGTGTGTGTGTGTGTGTGTGTGTGTGCGCATAGTTTAAATGGTGCTCAACAAAGTAAAAAGGTACTTTGGAAATGTTTGAATCTTGACGGTCGCATGTCTCAAGCTGAGAAGAACCTGAAGATGTGGAAAGTTCACAAATATCTGCCACATTCTGACCAGCAGCAAGAAATCCTGGTGGCTTCACAGCGCAGACATTTACGTAACCACCTAACGAGTGAAGGAACTCTGGTTTGATCCCAGGAGGAGAGACAAGTTCCTCTGGGATTGTGTCAGGAAGAGTATCCAGTTTTTAAAAATTTAAAAAAAAAAAATACAAATAAATACATTTAAATTAAATAACATTTTTAATTAAATAGATATATGGATACGAACATGTGGAGCTACATGCTTCAACTACCCCTTGTACACATCCTGGTGTTGTGATGCATTTAAAGTTTTATATATATATATATACTGTTTATTAAAGATGGACGTATTCACTGTGATGTCACTCATCAGCTTGTCAAGCCGTGTTTTGAAGTTTCGACCTATTGTAGGATTTCAGGTGTTGCTATGGTTGTTTTTAGAGCCAGAAGTAATTATATTTTACACTACAAGGTGAAGTGCTGAATGTTACGAAGCCCTGTTAGCAGCTGTGACCACAGTCTGCACACACACAGATTAGTGCTAAGTAACAAATTCTAAAAATAAAATGCTACGATTTCATTTCACCAACAATTAGAGGCACAAACTGTACTTCTTGGAGAGTCTTTTAGTACAAATATCACATCAAGTCATAACATTTATTTTTAAAAATTGTTTAGATTGAGTAAAGCAGCTATAAATACCAAAAATGTTTGCATCATTTTAACATGGAAGTTTATGGAGACTCAGTTTTTACACTTCCATGCTGGCTTCATTTCTCATGCTCTGGGGTTTCCACCTGAAATCCAAATTATTTGTTATACTGGTGAAGCAGCACAAGTTTACAGTGTCTAAATCCTGTGTTTATGTATATATATTTGGGAGAATGTAAGCAATGTATGAATTCACTTTCAAATATATGAATTTAAAAACAAAGGTAGTTTCTTTAACAATGTCACTCTGTATCTACTACCTAAATCTCTACCGTGAAGTGAAAAACTAGCTTTAGCAGCCCTTTCCCTCATGAGTCATTTCACACTGTCAACAAGCAGCACTTCACTGAAAAATCCCCCTTTAGTTACAGAAAGACGGGAGAAAAAAATACTGGAAGAAGTGGGATTGATACTCTGTCTTATTTTAATGTTCTTCTCTGTTTCTCCTTTTCCAGACCCAGTATCAGTCAAAAGAAATTACTTATTTTATTCTTTGAAGGAATTCCTCAAGTAAAACTATTCACTCGGCCTCTACAGAAGAGGCCTTGTGGGGATTTGCTGCAGAGAAAGCTGTTTGTACAAATACAGCACAGTGTGGACACACACTCACGTTTTTGTTTTTTTTTTGCTTTCCCAGCCACCCCCAGCTCAAACTTACCAAATGGTTCAGGAATTTAAATCAGTGACCTTCATCAAGGGTCCTCGGTTCTTTAATCATTAACTACGTTTTTTGTTTGTTTTGTTTTTTTCACTGTCTGGAAGCCTTGGTGTGATTTTTAGCCCTAAAGCTGTTTGTTTTTGTTGATATGAGAATAATGAGAGCTTTTTTTCTTTTCTTTTTTTGACCTAATATCTCACTTTCTGTCCTCCAACAGTAGCTTCATCAGAGCACTATTTCCGGAAAACCTCAATGCTGACAAGAAGGGTCGACCCACAACTGCAGGCAGCAAAATAAAGGTGTGTGAGTGCAGCTGTGCCTTCTGTTTATCAGGGTCACTGTGGAAAAGACCTTTGCTGAGATAATGTGCGTGTTTGCTGTTCAGTGGGATGTCCTTCAGCGTTCCCAGTCAGCAAAGAGCCAGTAATTTAGTCACAGACGCGCCAGCCTCATCATTATCTTTCCTTTTTTTGATGTTTGCTCTAATTCCATCCTTCAGAAACAAGCCAACGATCTGGTGAGCACACTGATGAAATGCACGCCGCACTACATCCGCTGCATCAAACCAAATGAGACCAAGAAGCCCAGAGACTGGGAGGAAAGTCGGTGAGTGACTGAATCACTAGCACCCACTCCTTGTTGTCCTGAAAAGTTAAAGATTAAGACACATTCATTAGACGGCTTACAGAGCCAAGCAAAACATGAGGGCAGCACTCGAGTGTACACGACCGATCCTGAGGGCGGTCTGAGCAGGAGCAGCCAATCAGTGGCAAGTGTTATGATAACCATGAAAAAGTGATGTTTACAAGAACATGTATGAACCCAAATAAAAATAGCTTGTTGGAAAAAACTAAGTATACCCTTAGTATACCCTAAGATAATCGAATGCACTCGATTAACTGATCATCAGCAAGTGTGAGCGCTTCTATAAAAGCAGTTTTGCCATTTTGTTGGTGAAAATGAAAGTAGAATTAGAAAAAGACTGAACAAGTATGAAAAACCTCATCTCGCTAAACAGACCCATGACAGCATGTCCTGTGGACACCAAAATATGCTATTAATATTTCTATGAAACACTTGAAGTTGATCTAAAATGCTCATTTCCTCTAAAATTTCCTCTAAAAAACCTTTTTTTAGTCCTGCAGAGTTAAGAGTGGAAAAAACTGTCTAAAACTCAGCCTTTAAAGCAGTCTGACCTCATATTTGAGTTGTGCTCATATCAGATACAACCATAGTGCTGTATTATTACATGTATATCAGGGGGGAAAAGTAAAAGCATAATAAGGCCACCTCAAGCTGTCTTGTAGAAAACACAATAGAAAATTAACAAATATATTTAAAAATAAGATGAAATAACAGAAAACTGACTAAAATACGAAGCGAAGACCATTAAAAATGGAGCACGAACACATTATCAAGGACAAAAAAACAGATTAATGACATTTATAACCACAATGAAAGAAATAAAGCACAGAAAGTGATGCATTAAAAACAAAAGTCTGGGTTTTGTGTTTGTTAAAACTGATCCACAGTCCTATCAAATGTTTAAATCTAATAGAAAACTACCCTGTTTGCAATATGCACCATCACCAAAATGCTGTGTTATGTTATTTATGGCTAATTTTATTACATGTTTCTCTTATTTAAGTATGTATTATAGCACATGAGATCGTTATCCAATTTCTTTTTCTATCTTCACTAAATTTCTTTGCGCTTTTGTCTTTTTGGGGTCTTTTTGTCCCTCTGAAGACATGTGAGACATGTTTCAGGCATTCCCCGTTCTTTATCCCTTTGTTTCAGTTTCCTACACTTTTGTCCCTGTGCTCAGGTTTTGGGTACTACATGTTCACATACAGTCTGATGGTGTATTGTTCGGAGCCTACTGCCTTCCTGTTGTGAGGGTGGATCGTTAATTAGCACCGGAACCGCTGTTTTCACAGGAAGTTTGACTACTTTGTTTGAGGAAAAAGTTAGGAAAGCAACTCATTTGCATACAATAACCTCCGATTATCCCTTCCTCTAGTATGAGTGGAAGCTTCACGTGATATGAAAAGACTTATAGTTGATTCCTTAGAGGTTAGAGAAAAAGGAATCGGCTGTTATTGATTAGTGTTTGTACACATCACTAAATGATATGTACAAACACAAAAGTATGAAAAATGAACAAGTTTCATCAATTTGTGGTTTATCTGATACTGAATGAGGTTTTTCTGTCTTTAGGGTGAAGCACCAGGTGGAGTATCTGGGTCTGAAGGAAAACATCAGAGTGAGGCGTGCTGGCTACGCCTACCGCAGGGTCTTCAGGAAGTTCCTCAACAGGTATCAAGCTTTTTCTTTTTCGCCGTGGTTCAAGGTGCACTGTCTGACTAGGCTATGAAAGATACGTTTCATTCTCTCTACTGCTTGTGTCCTGTGCTTCAAACCGAAGTCACACAACTTCTGCTGCTTATCGCCACTCAACTTCGACAGGTACGCCATCCTGACCAAAGAATCCTGGCCAACATGGCGGGGAGACGAGAAACAAGGCGTCCTTCATCTCTTACGGTCTGTCAACATGGACCAGGATCAGTTCCAGCTCGGCCGCACCAAGATCTTCATCAAAGCCCCCGAGTCGGTACGTTTCACCGCTGCGTCTCTTTCGGACTGTCGCATCTTCTCTTTGTGCGTTTGTCCATTTATAATGCAGGGTCTCTTTCAGGAAGCTTTCCAGGAGTGTAAAGCACAAAGTAAAAACTACAGATAGTTTGTAGCAGCTCACATCTCTTGTCAGAGCGTCATCAGCAGGCTGCAAAAAGCCTCAAGTCATCAGTTTTTGCACTGAACACCATAAAAGGACATCAGAGCCCCAAATCACGCTCTAACCCTCGTCACAGGGGAGGAGACTGAACCCGACCCTTGCACCACGTCAGCACTGAGTCACCGCCGCTCTGAAATGAAAACACGAGCGCAGGCTGTGGTTGCAGAGTTTGGGGTGACATCGTAAAGGCTCCTATTTTTTCCACCCAAACTTCTTTTTTCCCCCTCACGATTCTTATGAAAGCAGCACTTGTGTGCAGCCCTGCGCTTTCACTCATTAACATTTGTACACGTCACACAAGGGTAAGCATGCACGCCCACAGAAGTATGTTTAGTAGCTTTAAACACAGACATCTTAGTCTCGATTCAGGCCTTACAGCGGATCCTGAATGCCTTTACTTATTTACTGCAGCCGCTCACTGCCAGGAGCCCCCATCCCCCCACGCCACCACACTGAGAGCCACTGAGGTGTGTTTATGAAGCGCAAATATCACATGGGGCGGACCGCTGAAATGAGCTGCCAGGCTTCTCAAAACAAGTCTCTGTGCATGATAAGACACTGACACCAGCTAATGAGCCGCGTGACTGAAGCGTTTTTCTGTCGGCTGTAATAAGTAAAGTTTGTTTGACGACAGGCCAGATGTTGGAGGAGTTTCAGCCCCTCTGTGATGACGGATTTGCTCGTGGCTTACTGTCCATCAGAGGTCCTTTGTAAGCAGAGCTGAGTGACTATGACAGACAGCTCACCTAAAGAGTTATTAAAAAATCTTTTTTATACAGCACTCACAGCTGTTCTTCTCTTTCCTCCGTCACAATAGTGTTTAATCATCAAAGCCACTGAAAGTGTCCTAAACCCCTTAAATACAAATGTTGGGCCACAAACTTGGGCTAATTTTCAAACCACACATTAGAAAAGTTGTGTAGTCTTCCAAATAAGATCCATCTCAGATTCCTGCTGCTTTTTTGGCAGATGGCATCACATCACCCCACTCCTAGCTTCACCCTTTTAAATTGACTTTTAAGGTTTTTCTGATTGCGTTTAAAGCACATTGTGGTTTAGCACAAGTAACATAGCAGGTATGTTGAGCCCATGTGAGCCATTTTGCAGCCTGAGATCATCGTGTGTTGTCCTCCTGGCTGTTTCAAAATCGAGGCGTAGAGCTGAAGGGTAAAAAGCTTTTTGCCATTAGGCCCCCTTCAGCTTTGGAATAACCCGTGACTTCTTTCTTTTTGTAATGTCCTCTCTCTGTCTTCTCTTTCTTCTATCATCTGTCATCACGGTGGATTTGATGATACTTTCTGCATTAATAATTCTATAATTTGACAAGATCTCCAACACCACTGGCTGAAATGCAGCCCCGAACCACGAAAGAGCCTCCATCGCGTTTTAGAGACACTCACTGTTGTACCTCTTCTGCATATATTGATGATGATTTGCACCTTTATATAAGAATGATTTGGGTTTTTGTTTTTTTGTTTTTCACTAATTCTTTCAATCTCAGCTTGTCCAGTTTCCTCAGATTTTATAACACTGACTGCTGAGATATGCCAGGTTTTTAGCTAACAGCTCTTTAGGAACCAAAAATACTCTTTTATTTATTTATTTATTTTGTGTCAAACTGTTTTAATCGCTGGGTTTACTGTAGATTCAACTAAAGAAATGGGAGCAGATTATGTTTTTGTGACAGGCTGATAGAAACAAAGTGCTTAAAGATACAACTTAAAATTGTTTTTTTTCCTAAGTTCTCTGTTATTTGTAGACACAGCACTGGTTCATCCGCAAACCTCTGTGCTTTTTTAGCCATGACTGACTCAAAGGTCAGTGTTTAGTGTTAAAAACATTTCTTTGAAAATGGTCAGGGTAAAGACTGGAATGAAAATGAGTGAAAAAGCAGGTAATGTACAAAGAAAAACTCTAAAAGACCTTTAGAAAGCCTGGGGAACGGTCACTTAAGCCCACTTAGTAACAAAATATCAACAAATGAGAGGTAGCTCAAGATTTTTGCTCGGTACTGTTTATCTGGTACTTTCTACTGTTATAATCCATTCCCTAGTATTTGTATAGGGCCTTTACAAGTAAGTGAGTACACGTGTAATTAATTAATCATACTCTAAATATATTTATTTATTTATAGTAAATACAGTTGTTTGTTTCAGCACTGCTTTGATTTGAAGAGTCAGCCAGATGTTTGTGTAATAAAGACATTAGGAAGTTTGCCACCATTTCCTTTTCACTTCCACTAATATTAACCAAAACACCACCTGCTGTTTGCTCCTGGTGTTGTCAGCTGGGAAGTTCAATCACTCTCACAGCCTCTGTGATTTTGTGGTGTCACTGTTTCTGTGACTCAGTGTATTTTTCTGCTCGCATCCTTTCTGAGTGAAGTTTGATCTGCTGTGTTGTGTTTCGGTCTTGCTTGCGGTTTGTTCCTGTGGCCGGCTCTGTCGATGCCAAGCCTATTGCAGCACCGGGCAGGATGTTTAGTCTGGCAGGGAGAGGGCAGAGAGTGTGATTGCGTGTCCCGACGCCCATCGGGAAATGACATATCCCGGTGACAAGATGAGTCTGCTCATAAGTGTTAGCGAGGACCACAAACACTTGTAATTTTAAGGATTATTGTAATTCAATTCTAAGTTTTTCTACTTTAAAGGGTAAGTGTTAATGTCTTTGAGTCCATCTCGAAGCAAAGATCAGAATCCTGTTCACACTGGACGTTTAAAGATCTTTTTAGTTTAAACGTGTTCACCGTCGGCTCTGCAGCTTTGCAGGGCATCACTCTGTTGATTCAACTGCCAAACAATTTCATTACAACAATCCAAACAAGCTGTGGCTGTTTGTCGTCTGCCAAAAAATGACTGCTGCTATTTAAACAGGTGCAAATGACTTGTTGGCCTATAATCCATCAAATATATCTCTCATGAATGATATCCAGTCATTTAGAGCCAGAAAACGTCCTGTCATAAGGTTAAAGCTGAAATCTGTTTGTTTTGGCAAAGTAACTTTTATATATCCTTTATTTAGCTGGGTAAAATGTGTCGTTGGCATTAAAAATGTATTTTTCTGGAGAGATTTGACCAAGAGGGCAGCAAAAATTTCAAGAAACATAACATAATAGATATATATATATATATATATTAGGGGTGCAACGATACACAAAATTCACGGTTCGGTTCGATATTTTTTCGATACAAAAAAATGTTCATGCCTTTTTAATTTGTCATTTATTAAAATTATAAATATATATTTTAACTCAAAAGTACAGTTTTTAAATTTAATGTTGCTGAAACAAAAGTAATTAAAAAAAATCTGATTGAGGAATCACTCATCTTTGGAAAAGAGAGTTTATTACAGAGAAATGGCTCTTTCCAAAATAAAAGCTATACTATACGCTTCTTCTGGGCTATATTCTCAGCAGCATATTGTAGCGGGTCAGGGCTGTTCGGGGTTCTGTTTGTACAGTTATGTTTTGTTTATGTTGCCATAGTGACGGGTGACGCCCTCTCGCTGCGACGGTGTGTCCTTCCGGGGTCAGAGGGCGCCCTGTGTGTTGTTGTTGTTGTTGCTGTGCGGTTGCCGCGCTGAGCAGTTAGCTAGCGGCAGTGTTCTTCTGCAGATGTCAATAAACGGCTGTGCTCCCTGGCTAGCTCACGGGAAGCAAGACCAAACGACACCTCCGTCTCCTCCTTGTCTGAGCTCGCCACATTGGTGTCAGAAGTGGGATGATGGTGGCACCCCATGTTCTGACCCGAGTGACTTTTCCCCCGCCGGTCGTGACCGGCCGGTGCGCCAAAAGAAGGCACCTGGACATTTGCAGGACTTTGTGTGGGGTAATGGGGTCGTCGGGGACGACTGACCCCTTAGGTGGGGGCTATGTAGCGGGTCAGGGCTGTTCGGGGTTCTGTTTGTACAGTTATGTTTTGTTTATGTTGCCATAGTGACGGGTGACGCCCTCTCGCTGCGACGGTGTGTCCTTCCGGGGTCAGAGGGCGCTCTGTGTGTTGTTGTTGCTGTGCGGTTGCCACGCTGAGCAGTTAGCTAGCGGCAGTGTTCTTCTGCAGATGTCAATAAACGGCTGTGCTCCCTGGCTAGCTCACGGGAAGCAAGACCAAACGACACCTCCGTCTCCTCCTTGTCTGAGCTCGCCACAATATTAAACATATCAGGTCCCCATAAGGAGAATCATGTGCTAACGGCTGTCTAAATGACTCGGGTAAAGTTTGTAGCATGCATGCTTGTTGTTTTTGTCTGCTTCCACTTGTCTTTGCACTAGGATGATGTCGGCGTAAATGTGCAGTCATATTCGTTGTGTTCCCACTAGTGCTGTCAGCGTTAATCTCGTTGAAATGACGTTAACGCCACAACACGGCAAATCTCCCCCGTGCATGGGGCTAGACGGCCAACACGTTAACGAGCTAACACACTAGTTCCCACCCATGTAATTGAGCATTGCGTGGCACATCCAACATACTGTTTTACTTTAGTCCATGACGCGCTTACCTTCAGGGTCATACGTCACATGAAAACCAAAATAATTCCAAACGCCAGATCTGAATGAGGGTGGGGGAGGTTCAATTTGCCATGTTGCAAGGAGAGCTTAACTTCTGTCTCGCTAGCTTGCCCTGCGCTCTTCCTTCTGACTATGCTGTCTGTGTTGAACGTTCAGTGGATCTGCGCTCGACAGTGCGGCCTAGGCGGAGTAGTCGAACGCAGATACACTGAGCGCTCAACACAGACAGCATCGTCAGAAGGAAAGTTGATAAAATAAATTACAAATTTTGTATTGTTCAATACATATGCGTACCGAACCGAAAGCACTGTATCGAACGGTTCAATATCGATACGAGTATCGTTGCACCCCTAATATATATATATATATATATATTTATTATATAGACTTTCATAAATCCTGTTGACTATTTACCAATATAAGCAAATATATCACACATGAAAAGCACACAGGAACATTGGAAATCACTTTTTGGCACGACACGGGTCTTGTTGTCAGACACCAGCACTTCACTTCTGCACTGTAATAAAAATGACGAGCCGACAGCTCGGTTTGTCTATTTAACTGTACTCAGGTATGTTCTGTATGCATTCCTCCCACTGAGTTCATGTAGGTGTGTCTGTGTTTGGGTTTGTGCAGTGAGCTGAACTCGGCATGTGTCATGCTGAGTCTCGCTCTTTGTCTTTACAGCTGTTTCTGCTGGAAGAGACGAGGGAGCGCAAGTTTGACGGCTACGCCCGGACCATCCAGAAAGCCTGGAGGAAATATGTGGCCCGCAAGAAGTATGTTCAGATGAGGGAAGAAGGTGAGTGAGGGAGCGACTTACTGCCGGAAGTATCTACCTTCCTGGCGCTCCCGCTCTTATCCTCTTTGTCTGGGTTCATTCAGCTTCCGATCTGCTGCTGAACCGAAAAGAGAGGCGGCGACACAGCCTCAACAGAAACTTCGTAGGTGACTACCTCGGTATGGATGACCGGCCTGAGCTCCGGCAGTTTCTTGGAAAGAGAGAAAAGATCGATTTTGCAGACAAAGTCACAAAATACGACCGTCGCTTCAAGGTTGGTTCAATTAAATTTGCAGTCTGGTTTTCCAACAACTGGCAAAATAGTAACATTGTGTTTTCCTTCTTCAAATAGGCAATTAAGAGAGATTTGATCCTGACACCAAAATCTGTGTACCTGATTGGAAGAGAGAAGGTGAAACAGGGGCCAGAGAAAGGGCAGGTGACAGAGGTGCTGAAGAGGCGGATCGATGTGGACAAGATCTTAGCGGTGTCTCTGAGGTGCAAAATGCTTCCTTCACATCTGAGCAACATCATTCAAAAGAAATTATAGTATTGCCTTTTCCAGGTCCAGAGAGCTTACAACTTCTAACTCCTCCACAAAACTCAGAGAGAAAGGTTTTCTCCTGAGAGAATGATGCTAGAGCAGATATTTCTAAACTTCAGGCCAACACGGCACAAAGATGAAACCTTTAGTCCAGTCTCTCATTATCAGTCAGACAGAAAGTTCAATATTATTTTTATGTTTTCGTAAATTCAATCAGCAGGCTTTCTTCTGCCACCTGACGAGCACGGCTCCGCTAATGACGAGACCAAAGACGAGTTCGTGATCTGCAACCCTGAACTGGTGAAGGGGTTAAGAAAATGGATGTGTTATCATTTTATTCGACTTCTTACCTAACACATTTCCACATGGTTAAGTGGCAAGTTTAAAAAGCCTTTACAATTGTATATTCCAGTCTATCTTTCAATTTAAAATAGCAGCAAACTTAATTTCTTTAGTATTTTTATTTTTACTCACATTAAGGAGAATATTGGTGCCGTCCTGGATTCATTTCCACTGTCTGGGTCGACTTTGCATGTTCTTCCCATGTCTGTGTGGGTACTTTGCCTTTTCCTACAGTCCAAAGACATCCCCATAGGTGCGACTAGTTATCTGCCTCTGTGTGTTAGCTGTGTGACAGACTGGTGACTTGTCCGGGGTCTACTTCGCCCTATAGCAGCTAGGAGTGGATAAGTGGAAGAAAGTGGATGAAGGGGTACTTTATTTTCCATCACATAACTTTAATGCAGGTTTATTGTAGCTCAAAGCAGGAACAGAAGTCATTATACTGTCTAATAATTAATAGAATTAATAACATGTGCCACACAAATGGCATCCATAAAAACAAATTTGGTGCTTATTCTGTTTACATAAGTCAACTCTAACTGCTATGTCCTGCTGCTACACCACATCCTGCTCTCTAGAAAATCTACCTACAGCAGCATTTTTATTTTGGTGTATTTCAGAATTTACACTGCACAGTCACAAGAAAAGCCACACACTTCATTCGACCCCGTTTAGCTTTGATCACAGCGCGCGATCGCCGTGGCATCGTTTCAGTGTCGCAACAATTATTTCCATCTATAGTTGCATTCATTTTTTTTCGAAGATCTTGCACTGATGATGCTGATGAGAGTCCGACTGCTGCGTAAAGTCGTCTCCATCGAATCCCAAAGGTTCTTAAAGAGGTCGAGAACTCTTGAGTGTATTCAGATAGTCAGCTGAACTCATGTCTTTTTGAGCACATGATGTTGCCTAACCTAGACCTGACCAGCTGAAGTAATTCCAGATCATAACCCTGCACCCACACGCTTGAACTTCATCCGCCTTTCTTCTCGTGCCGATCACTCCTGGATCACAGTCGGTCTCATCAGAGAACATTTCCATTGCTTCAGACTCTAATCTTTATGCTCCCTGGCAAATTGAAACTGATAAGTGTGTTTTTATTAAGGCTACACAGCTGTTCTCTTCATGCTATATTTGTGGAAATGCTCCAACCTTCACTTTTAAACATAGCTGTGAGTTCTACTGCAGATTTTATATATTTTTAATTATGTGATTTCTCTCCGATCTCGATTATTCAGGATTTTTTTCCCCCCCGACCACATTTATCAGAGATGATGGTTCCCTACTACCCGTCCAGGACTCAGTTTTCGTAGTTTCGCCAATCACCTTAGTAGTTTTCTTTCCTCGTTACAGGCCAGCAATTTGACTCCAATGAAACAGCTTTTTTCACGCTTATGAGACTTTAGGATTAAGTAACCTTTTCCCAGCCGAAACATATCAATCGCTGCATCAATCCCTCCAGGTGGTGAAGCTTTTTTTTCCAGTGTATTTTTCTGCTACTTTAATCAGAAGTAAAGTGCACGCTAATGTTGTTGATTTTCAAACTTCAGCCCCTGCTCTGCACTCCTCTCCGTTATCTCAAAGCTGATGTTCTGAATCACACGTTTCTATGTGCAGAGGTACATACCAGCAGATATTTGACTGTTTCCAAAACAAGACAACATCTGATTCTGTGGACACTGCACTGCAGAAAGCCATGAATCCACTTCAAAGTCACAGTCTGGATTTGTAATCAAAGAAGTTCCCATGTTGCTGTAAATGTCACACAAGGGACGCGGAAAACATGTGGAGTATATTTAAGCTGCTTGTATATGTTAGTGTTTTCAGGTCTGACTGAAACCAGTTTAGTCCACATCTCCAAAACGTTGCTAAATTACTCAAAAATGCTGTAGTGGGGAAAGAACGTTGATCAGTTTATTGTGAAAGTGCAGGAAAAAAGGAGCTGAGAGACTTATCGTAGCTTTGTTGTTCATGGGAACGCAGCATAGCTCGTTTCAGAGGTGGAGCTGCTGGAGTAACATGTGGCTTTTGAGTCAGCGGGGTAATACAGACCAGGTGGTGCAAAGAGCGAAAGCAGGAGTTGTAAAAAGCTCATCAGAGAAAAACCCGACTTCTCTGGGAGGAACAAAGTATCCTTGTGCGGGTTACGGGCTCAAGCTGTCGTCCCTCCTCAGATGTGAGCCGCTTTGTGAGGCTCTTGATGCAAATGTGAAAGCTGATTCTGACTCGTGATCTTGGCTTCTGTCAAAGTTTCACAGAAAGCGGAAAAACGGTGAGATTTGATCTGTTATAACACTTAAAGTTTCCCTTGCTTTGTTCGTCCTTTCAGCACAATGCAGGACGACGTCTTGATACTGCACGAGCAGGAGTACGACAGCCTGCTGGAGTGCATTTTTAAGACCGAGTTCATCAGCTTGCTTGCTCAAAGGTTTGAGGAGAAAACCCAGAGGAAGCTACCGCTTAAGTTCAGTAACACGTAAGTAAACACTTCAATAGTAAACATAGAAGCCAAAAGGACAAACGAGACAAAAACAAAGTCCGATGATATAAAAATGTCTGTCGTGTTTCTCAGACTGGAGATGAAGTTGAAGAAGGAGAACTGGGGCTTCTTGAGTGGCGGCGGCTCCAGGCAGGTCACATTTGTCCAAGGTCAGGGAGACATGCCTGTCCTGAAGCCTTCGAGCAAATCTCTGCAGGTCAGCATCGGACCCGGGCTTCCCAAGAATACACGTGAGTATGAACGAACCTGTGGAAAGGTTACCTGCTCTCACAGTGAGCCGTAATCCACCAAATGCTGCGTTTCCTTCTTTGAGAGGTTGTTTGTTTGTGGAGCCATTTCATGCCTTTTTGTTTTACTGAGAAAGAAGTTGTCCCTCCAATTATTGTTAGATCCAAATCCACTGTGGTTGTGAGCAGAGGCAAAACTGCAAAAATGATCTTTTTATCCAACAAATTATGGATCCAACTGTGTTTTAGTTTTGTTTATCTAAATTATTTTGCTGCTGGTTAGTTAATATCTGAATATCTCTCCCCTTTAGGCCCAACCAGGAAGAGCTTCACTCAGAGTCGCTCAAACATGTCCAGAAGCCACCAGCACACCCCATCACGAGCTGCACCGGGACCTCCAGGTACAGCGTCCGAGCAGCTCGCTGGTCACCTGTCCCGAGTGAATCATCTCTCTCACAGCTCACATGACAACAAAGCTTTTCTTTCTGCAGTTTCACACCAGAACGGTGGCATAAAAAACACCAACCATGTCACCAATCAGAGAAATTCACAGCATCACAGCAAGAGGCATCCATCGTCCCACAACTCAGCGCACCCAGTCCTGCCCAGCAACATCAACCAGGTGAAGGAGCGAGGCGGCAGTCGCCAGCAGCCGAACTTAGACTGTCTGAGAGTCCCCGATCAAGGAGCAGCAGGGTGAGAAACCGGCACACACTGTAGCCAAACAGTCCAGGCAGGAACAGACAGACTAACTCACCCACACAAAACAAGGACTTTCCCATCACCGCTTCAAGCTTTTAATTAGTTTAAATTGTGCATGAACTCCTCATACTGCTGTAAGTTACACCTGTTCTTTAGCATCTACACTTTGCTTGGTTAATGTTGTCGTCTCCCAGCTTTGAAATAAAAATGTCACAGCTGATTTGTACGTTGAAAGAGTCACCAGCAAGTCAGCAGTCAAGCAAAGCTAGCTTTTATCTCTGACACCTGTTGGCTGAATCTTAATTGTATGACTCAGGTGATGTTTCACAGAGCTCAGCTGAAAGAAATCAGCAGTTTATCAACTCATCTTTTTGATTTTCAGCTAAAAACAAATGTCGCTCGTTGTCCTTAAACTTAATGTGACACAGCACTGTTTTAGCTCAGCTTTGAAATCCCATTTGATGAGAATTTACACTTGCACCTTAAACTATGTGGATCTTTTAGTCCCAGGAACTTTTCTCTTTTTAAAGGTTCCTTCTGACTCTTTGTTGCTCTTTGTTGGTTTAAAACCCTAAGTTCCTCAAAAGGTTCCTGTTTCCCGGATAAACTCGTGTGGTGGAAAAGTCCTTTTTTTTTCTATTGATTCTGTGTTAATAAACGTATGAAGTCATGTAATTATTTGGCGTTATGTAAGGTACAGTTTTCCTGTGTTTAGATGTCCAATGTCCAAACCCAGTTTCATAAAATAAGACAGTAGTCAGGCTCGTGTCACGAACACAGTTATAAACGTCGTATTAAAATGACTATAGACACTCTCACACATAGCTGTGTTTCTGTATTTTGACATAATTTGGATAATTTATTCTTTTGTAGTCCTGGAGGCAGACCGCCCACTTCAAACGGAGGAATGTGAGTTGGAGTGCTTGCAGTGTTTTGACTGGTGTTTCATGAGTGCATAAGCTTGCAGCAGCAGGAAATGCTCATGCTTATTCTCTTGTATGATTAAAATTTGACTTCCTGTCGTAGTATGCAACTAAGATTTTATTTTATTTTTATTTCCTGCTCCTGCTGCTGCTCGGTTTCAATCAAGTGGGAATTCTTTCTCAAATTTTTTTTTCATTTGTAAACAAGATTTCTGGGAGGTTGAAAGAATCCTTCTGTGCTTTTATTGATTTATTGATTTATTTTAATATTGGTTCAATTTTAATATCACAGGAGTAAATAATTTTATTGGGTCAATGCATAAGTTACATATGTATAAAACTGGCTGCTTCACTGCCTGCTTACAGTTCAGTGTATAAAAGACGGATGTGTCATACGGCACTAAAAAGTGAAGCCACTGGAGATGTGCCTCAAACCTGCGTTCTTTTTCGTGGCCAGCAGGGGGCGACCTTTCTGGTTTTAAACAGAAGCCCGGTTGCAGTGAACACTACAGCTCATTGATCTATGGCCTTACTTATTATTTGGTTTTTTTTGTTGAAGTTGATACATAAGACATCTACAATATAACTCATGTTATAGATTATCCCTACAGGATAAAAAAAAAAAATTATGATAAAGCAGGGTACGAGCTCTCTTTGGTCATCACGTCAGAACACCTGAATGATGATGATGATGATGGTGAATTTGCTCTGCCTGACCAGCAGGTGGCGCCATAGAGACTGCATCCCTCTTTTATTTACAGTGTACACCGATCAGCTGCAAAATTATACCTAATATTGAGTTGGTACCAAAACAGCTCTGACCTGCCAGAGCACGAACTCCACTAGCCCACTGATGGCCACAACCATCAGGGAATAGGTTCAATGAAAAAGTGTACATGGTCTGCACCAACACTTATGTAGGTGTTACATGTCAAAGTAACATCCACATGGATGGTAGGACCCACGGTCTCCCAGCAGAACACTGTCCAAAGCATCATGCTGCCTCCACCAGCTTGCCTTCTTCCCATAGTGCATCCTGATGCCCGGTCTTTACCAGGTTAAAAATGGACACACCTGCTCATACACGTGTTGTAAAAGAAAACATGATTCATCAAACCAGGCCACCTTCCTATATTGCTCCATGGTTCGGTTCAATGTTGGGCATTTCGTTGGTGGACAGGAGTCAACACGGGCACCTGACTGTTCTGGTTATTCTGACTCTTTTCTATCAGAACCAGCTTGAACTTTCTGGCCAATTTGAGCTACAGTAGCTCGTCTGTTAGATCGGACCACAGGAGCCGGCCATTGTTCCACATAAGAGCTGCAGTTTTGAAGGCGCTCTGACCAAGTCACAATTTGGTCCTTCTCAAACTTGCTCAAATCCTTCTAACATAAACTTTGAGGACAAAGTTTTCACCAAATATATCCCGTACACTAACTCGCGCCATGGTGACGAGAGAATCAGGTACAGCAATGTGCAAGTAATGTAATGCAGCCAGTATGCAGAAAAAAGGTGCTGCTGACTTGGGATCACACTCTGTGCTCCTGAGGGCTTCACAAACACATTTTAGGTTCAGTTGCAGGCATAGAGATGGCATGCACCATATCGCCATCTTGTGTCTGATTTATGAACTGCTGCTATCTCTTTAAAACACTTTCCGTTTGATTACAGTGTTGATTGGAAAATGAAAAATCTTAATCCTCAAATCGGTGTTTCCTGGTTGGTATATGGTATAATGAGATGGTGGTTATGCATGCCCTCGTATTCTGAGATCGACCATAGACAAAGTCACAAACGCGTTTCTCTCTTTGTTTCTCTCGATGTTACCTCAGGGCCCACAGACCGTCAGCCAGCAGGCCTCCGCCGGGAGGAGGACGACCCAAGCCTGCACCCAAACCCAAGCCCCAGGTGCCCCAGTGCAGAGCTTTGTACGCCTACGATGCTCAGGACACAGACGAGCTCAGCTTCAACGCTGACGACGTCATCGACATAATCAAAGAGGGTAAGCGCAGGGCGAAAAAGGCATTCAGAGGCTTATTTGTCATCTGTTTTTCACGAGACGCTAATTTAGTCGTGTTTGTCGGCCAGATGTGTCCGGGTGGTGGACAGGACGCCTTCGTGGGAAGCAGGGACTTTTCCCCAACAACTACGTCACCAAGATCTAGGAGCTGCAGGTTTCACAGCACACGGAGGAGAGAACGCTTCATCCCAGCTGACCTTCTCAGAGGAAGGGGCGGAGCTTAGAAGCTTACAGTTGGAGAGAGAAGCACAATGAGACACTTCCTCCACTTTACTGCCTTAGAGTACACGAATGTAACTCCCGGTTACACCAGCAGACTAAAAGATCATCGAGCTTGAAATGAGGCTCTAAAGACAAAGAAGACTGTTTGACCGAGGGTCTGATTTCTTTTCCCTTCACAGTCCCTCTGAGTACTGAACAAAACTATTTATTGTATTTATAGCTTCTGTGTTCTCCTTACTGTCATTTATATCTTGCTGAGAACTTTTAGCTCAAAACATTTTTGAAGCGCTGGAATGAAATCTGCTAAATCTGTGGGACCAGGCTGTGATTTTTACTCTCAACACGTTGTTTCGTTTAGCTTGTTTTAGATGAAGGTTTGATTGCCGAAGCAAACGTGGATGTGTCCGTGTCAAAAATGAAGTGACTGCTGTTTTACCAGGAAATATTTATTTTTGGTGCAAAACTGTAACTACTTTCCAGGAACAGATATTCATTAAATCGCCACACTGTGATTTCTAATGATTAGAAATACCAAAGCAATACCCAAACCAGTCAAAGGGCAGTGTAGTAAAGTGGTTAATCACTATGTCTTTGCTTTTCTAGCACACCAGTATATTAGACTAACAGTAGAGGCCATGTATACTGTAACCTGAGCATGCTGTCTGCGGTCTATTAGCACTTTATTAGCACCGGTACTACCTTGGACACAGACATCGTTCATGCCACAGCCAGTAAGTCAAGTTGATGAAGGACAAGTTGCCAAGATAGCAATAAGTCGCTTTGGTAATTAATTTGTTTACATTAAATGTTAAAAACAGGCATTTTAGATCTGATTCTGTATATGTGTTCATATGTAGGAGGATGCCTGGTGCTGGTTAGAATTTAAATTAAATATTTTTTTGTTTTGTATTTTCTCTGAAGGATTTTAACATGCTGGTTTTCATCTGCCTTTGTTGCTCACAGATCTGCTTTATTTCCTGTTCCGCTCGGTGTGGTTACTATCACAGATCACGGTGAACGGATTTTTGTTTCGTCAAGTGCACCGATTTGTTTTTAGGTGAATTTGTTGGCATTTTTCCCTGTGGCGCTGCAAACTATTTAACTTGTGCTCGACTGTTTCTGCACATCTTTTTGCACTGCTTTCATTACTTACACATTCCTTTTTTTTTCCAAATAAAATAACCACATTATACTCTGGTCAGTGACAACTGCTGGGACTTCTGTCATAAAACCTCTGCATCATGAAATATAGTTTGAACAGATGGTGGAAAGTATCCTTGTGCAATACACAACAGTAGATCAGTCCTTTAATAAAGCATGTAATACTGCATATTTAACTGCTTTGGTTTGTTTTATTGTCAAAGAGGCTTTCATGTTGTTTACATCAAATTCTGACCCTGCCATCAGAATCTCACAGCAGATGTTTTTCCAATCTTCAGTTCTGTAAATATTTGGTGAACCTGTGCGATTTGAAGGCTGAGTTTCCTGTTCTTAGCTGACAGGAGTGGCACCCACTCCTTAAGGTCAGACGTTTCTACATTCATAGATACTTTTCTTCATACTTTGGATTAGTTTGATTAGTTTTCACTTAATGATGCCTTTCTATCAGCACAAAGCAGTCTGGTCATCGAGACATTCTCTGGTGTCAACAAGGTATTTTCTGTTTTTGAGACAATTCTCTGTAAATTTTGGAAATTGGTACTCAGACCTGGACCGTCTGTCACCAACATGCACGCCACATTCAAAGTCACTTAAATAACTTTTATTTTTCATTCTGATGCTCAGTTTGAAAGTCAGCAGGTCTCATCTTGGCCTTGTCCACATGCCTAAATGCACTGGGTGCTGCTGTGTGTTTGGTGATTAGATATTTGCATTAATGAGCAGTTGAATGGTGTACCTAATGAAGACCTGGAGTGTAAATGTAGTGATGTGTATGCCTTTTTTAAAAGTAAATGTCTAAGCTGCAGGTTTAACTGTTCAGTAATTTTTTACCAAAATCTATGTTTAAATTGTGACTGTTTTCTAAAGATTGTCTCTTAGCCCAGCTTTACAGGTACAAGAGACTTTCACCTTCAAATAGTTTTACTCAGCTGAAACAGAAAAAAATGTATCTGTGCTGGCAGGAACATTTCCTACTTATGTCTTCTACATTGTTTTTATTGAGGAGGATCTGTCACACCCTCCACTGTGCAGCTGCACTCAGGGCCACAGCTTTGCTGGAAGACTGCGTTTCATTTCCACCTTGTGGCTACAATCGGTACTGCAACATTTTGAATAGTTGACCTTTAACATTTATGTTATCTGAGAAACGTCTTCTTTTATCGGTTGTCATAAATGCGTTTATCTTCTTTAGACACTCTAGTAGTTTTTAATCACATTCATTTTAACTATGGACCATTTCGAAAAACTGACTAGACTTGCTCAGTTTCTGACTTTTTGCTTTAACAAAATAACTATTTCCTAAGTGGAATCACCTCACTCACCTGGTCCATAACAGAGACTTTCTATTTATATCAACTTATTAAAACCAGAACAGCACTGATTAGAGAAAACTGATTAAAATGATCTTACATTAATTTATTATTTGAAAATAGAAGTCCTTTTTAATAATACAATAAATAATGACAATAACGAGAAAGAATAAACTTGATATTATCTACATGTTCTCGATCAAAGGCTTTCTGAGATTACATATCACAAAAACGTCTGGAGGTCAAGCACTAGGAAAGTTTGGAAACTGCACATCTATTCTATCTATATCTATTGCATCAGATTAATATATAATGAGATTAGTAAAGAGTAAATGTGCCTGTAGTAATAGTGATCATTTTCTATATCTGACTGATTTTTGTACATTTGTGTATTTATTTAACCCAAAGATGAAGTTTAGGAAGTCAAGTCTGTAAATTTGTGCTTTTATGTTGGTTTTTCTCCAATATAACAGATTTAAGCTTTTACATGATCTTTAAGCCAATGCAAATTTAATGACAGATAAGCATGTACTATGAAAGCCAGTGAGAAACTCGTATGTCTGATGAATCAGAAAAACGCCAAAGAAACGACACAATTAAGTTATCCAAGTTTATTAATATCATTTTTTAAAACTAATAGAAATCCCACAGAATATGATCCTGGTGCCTTTAAGTCAATGAATGCATGGCTACCTGCTTTAAGTACTGCATTTCAACACTCCATTCAAAATTGTAATTTTTCAGTTTTTACTATTCGTCAGAGTGGAAATACATGGCCTCAGCACACTGTCATATTCACTACGGTCCTCCTACCCTTTTCTCTCTTGTGCAAGTCTATGCGAGTGAGTTAGTCGACAGCATTAGTGTTTTTTTCTTTTCTTTTCTCAGCGGCCAAAGCAGACGCCGCTGCTCAACTACAGAGAGACAAAAAAGGGAGGGTGGGTGAAATGGTTCGACGTGTGAGAATAAACAGTAAATATTCATCTCCGATTGAGCTGTGTATTTCCCTCTGAGCACACACGCACGCGCGCACACATATACACACAGGAAATCAACGCCACTGCCAGTATCAAATTGACAAAATGATCCCAGGTTGCGGGGTCGTGCGTCGACCTGAGATCACCTCACATAAACCTAGCGTCCGCAGGCCCGTCTGCAGGAAGGAACCCCAAACAGAATGAAGAAAAGATTCACAGCAGATCCCGACAATCGTTCGGTTTAGAAAGAACAGTCAAAGAGAGGGAGGTGACATTCTTTTTTCTTTGTCCTCTAAAATACATCGGATGGTGGCGGTAACGGTGTTGTAGTCAAAATGAAGGTGCTGGAAAACGGGGGAAGGGGCGGGTGGTGTAATCGTAGCAAAGCGTGTGCATATTCTGGGAGTGAGGTGAACATCTGAGTTTATTTCCACTCTAGAAATACTGGGTGTGCACTAATACAGCAGCTGATCTGTTAACATAGTTCCCTAGTTAGGAATGTCTTGATTTACTTTAAAAAAAAAAAAAAGGAAAGGAAAGGAAAAAAAACATCTCTCACTAACAATCCACATCTTCTAAACATAAACTAATCAATGATACGATGATTGGTAAAATGAATCCTGCAATGTTTGTTTTGTTTTTTGTTGTTTTTCTTTTTTTTTTTTCCTTAACTGGAGGTTGACATTCTATTCTAGTAAAGCGAGGCATTAGGTTTACAGAAATGCATCTTTACTAGAGCAGCTATCCTCACCTGCAACTTGTTAGGCCGTTTCGAGCCCACGTTATATGTGCAAAGAAATGCATTGCGAGGAAACATGCAGAGAAACAGAACGCAAATGACACTTGAGGAAACGATCAAAAAAGCTACATAAAAGCTTTATAAATACAATAAAATCTTAAACCCTTAATGGAGAATTCTAGCTGTTGTAGTAACATGTGATAGCTGGCACTCTAGGCTCAATGCTTTTATTTTTTTCTCTGTCAGATGTCTTTTTTTTTTTTTTAATATCCTTGCAGTAGAGCTGCTGCAGGGGTAATTCATGCCATCTTTGGTTGACTGCAGTACTGAAGAGAAATTAATATGACCTCAAAATAAATTTTTAACAAAAGGGTTGTTAGAAAAGAAAAAGGGGGAAAAAAAAAACAGCATCAACTCTCAGCAGACAACTGCGCCTCAATGTCCACTCTGCAGATGGGGCACTTCTTATTGGTGAGGAGCCACTGATCCACACACAGCTGATGGAAGAGGTGCATACACGGTAGGCGTCTGGAGGGGAAACAGAGGAGAGAGACGTGAGACAAAGAAATAGATCAAGCAGGCTTTCCCTTTCCCTATCCTGTCTTCCTTCTCCCCAACCCGTCGCCCCTCCCTGAGCCTGGTTCTGCCGGAGGTTTCTTCCTGTTAAAAGGAAGTTTTTCCTTCCCACTGTTGCCAAAGTGCTTGTTCACAGGGGGCCATATGATTGTTGGGTTTTTCTCTGTATGTATTATTGTAGGGTCTACCTTAAAATATAAAGTGCCTTGTTGTGATTCGGCACTGTATAAATAAAATTGAATGGAATATTAACATGCATGATACAGCAGCACTGCCTGATCATGAGCTTAATTAAAATATAGTTTTGGGTTTTTTTAAAAAATCAGATGAAAACAGCGAAACCTATTTCAAAAACAGAAACGATTACACTCCTTTGTCTACTAAAATCTTTGTTTATGGTCACGTGCAAAAGCCAGGAAATCTGTCTGTTTAAATCTATAAACTATATTAATATTATTCTGAATTCATGCATTTATACTCAAATAACAAAGTCAGAAATAAACATTCAACCACTAAAATATTTTTTCTGTTCAGGATGCAAGTAAATAACACATTTTAAAAACATTTCTCATTTTGTAAAAATTTAACTTGATGGATAACAACAATAATTATAATTTAGCCTATTAAATTATCTTTTTGATTAAAGAGCGTGTGCATATCAGTGAATTAACCATTACAGAAACAGAAATAATGATTTTGGTAATTACACTTCTGTTTATTTGGCATAAATGTTATACTAAGTGGTGATATTAATAAACTTGCTAAGCACTATGTTACTGTTCAGCTATTTTAAATGATCACCAGTGCACCGAATCCACAGCTAACAACAGGCCCCAAAACAAAGCTTTAAAAACCCAACATCTTTAGTTAATCAAAGACTGAAATTGTTGTTTTCTGTCACATTAAGTCTTAAACAGGAGCCACTGTTGTGAGTAAAATACAAGCTGTATCAAAACCACCGACTCCCAGCCGGGGCTACCCTAACCCAACAAAATCCAGTGGATAAGCTATACAAACATACAGCTGAGTTATTGGTACATTAAAATGTCATTAAGGTTAAATTAACATTAAAATGGCTCAAAAAGTGAATAAGTTGTATTCTGTAGAAGCTGCATAAAAACAGCTCAAATGAATGAAACTGCTGCATGTTGGTACCCTCAATGCAGAGATGGGTTTAAATACAACAACAGCTGAAAGAAGTCAGGAAATGGCTGAAATAGTGGGCTAACAGCTGTAACAGTTGTCCAGGGCGCACCCCGCCTCTCGACCTACGACGGCTGGGGATAGGCTCCAAAAAACAGAGTTAAGTATATTTTACAATGTCAGACACTGTCAATGAGGAAGTTTTTGATTTGACCGGATAAAAGTGCCTTTAAACACTTGAGCCCATTGTATAATTCATATATTTAAGTTTTCATCTGTATTCCCTAGAAACAAAGCTGCCATCTGCTTCCTCCAATTAGGGAAACACTGATTTTAAAACACAGTTTAAATGTAAGAATAAAGACTAAATGCTTTTAGTGAGTAACAATAATTAAGGGATTCGCAATTTGTAGTACACAGTAAAGAAAACAGAAAAACATTTACTTTTTCAGTTTCTCTTAAACCAACAGGGGGCAGAAAATCCTCTTTAAAAGAAATACTTGAGTGAGTGCCAAAACGCAGCACCATGAGGCTTGTAATTTTAAGGCTCTTTGGGATTTTCTGCTGATTACTTTAATGCCTCTGGGTCTTTTTTTTTTTTTTGACATCCTATGAGACAATGTGAAACGGCTAAACTACACCTGCTATCCCACCTGTCTCCGTCACGCCCTTGAAAGCGTAATTGAACACACAAAACCGAGCGCGGCGAGCGGGACGAACACCCAGGAGGCGAGACATTTACCTGACATCCTCCCCCTCCTCCAGTATTGACAGGCAGATGGTGCATTTCTCCTCTGTGTCTTCATCTGCCCCCTCGTCTTCGTCTTGCTTACCGTGCAGCTTTCTCTGTTTGTGAGAAACGTTTGTTTTTGATGAGCAGTGTCGATCAACAACTGCTATTACAGATGGTTAAACAAAATCCTATGAATTCAAACACAAGCTACTCAATTAAAACACTGTAGTAAGATTAGAAGTATGTATTAAGTTTGTATTTAAAAAAAAAAACAAGTGATATTTTTTCCGATAAAGAGGTAACTATGTTTACAACAATACATTAGATTTGGGGACAGAGAGAATGGTCATTTTGTCCTGAAACAGAAAAATGTTTTTTTATCAAATCAAAATGATTCAAATCAAAGTAATTAGCCGAATTCCCTGGCCCCCAAGACTAACACTAACATCTACTGTACATGTGAGCAGAGACATGTTTCCAAATTGATTTGTTCATTATTTCTCACCGATTCTGGGTCTGCGTGCATATTTTTCCCAATAGATGCCCAAGCTTCAGGGGTTAACTGTTGGTCAATGTCTCTCTCCAACACCTTCTGTATTGGGTGGCAGGGTGTTAGATTGCTTATTTAGATACATTTGGAAACCTCTACGGAAACTTTGCCCCAACAGATATCGTCACAGCTGCAAATCTCTGGTAAAAGACACTACAGTGTTTTTCTAAATGCTGGCAAAACATCAGATGTTTGAAATGAGCACAAAAGACCACTGCGCACTCTGTCCCAGAGGCAACTGCAGCTTACATTCACAACTATAGACAGCAGCTTCAAAATCTGTAAGCACATTATATATTTATTACAACACACACACTCTGACAGGTCCTCACCTTTTTGTACTTGTGTGGGTAAGTGCACCTCTCTATGGTTCCCTGAGAGGCTCCTCGGTTCACAGTCCCCAGTCTCTCCTCTAAATGCAGCAGGTCCTGATTGGAGGGGAAAAAAGCTGACATTTTCTGTACAAACTGACATTTTTCTTCATGGAGAGGCTTTACCAGCTGTTCGATTAATCAATTAAGCAGATAAAGCCTTTGACTAAATGGGTTTCCAAGTAGTCATCGAAAGTCAGATTAATATTTCTAAATCAAGCCAATGGTTTATGCAGTGTCAGCAGGACAGCTGTGGTTACCTACTGTGCTTGTTGGCTTGTTGAATTGCGTGACTTGGCAAATAAATTCAACTCACTGAGGCAGACGGCTCTGTGAGAAGAAGCTTTCACGTCACGGCTGACAGACACGTGATCTGGGAGCAATTTTTTCAGGTTAAAGGTTGCTCGTGAACATTTGGCCACACCGAGCTCAGAGGTCAATTCACCATTTTGAGACTGCGAGTTGGGGTTGCAGTGTGAGAAGCTCAAAACGGGAACTATTTTCTTTCTATTAAACCACATTCACCACCAAAGACGACGTGTACCGAGCTAACGTTACAGCTCGTTGTGAAGACGAGCGTTACAGCTACAGTTATGAAGACGCTATTGATCTTTACATCCTACCCCGATGTCACAAGTATGAACCTGCCAAAGTTAGACGCACTCCTTTTTCTTGCGGTGATGTGGTTGATGGGTACAGTTTTCTTCAGCAGAAAGAAAACAATTCCTATATGAAAAAATGCCAACGTTTGTGGAATTTTCTGAGCAATCATGTGATGATTGCGTGGACATGACGCCACTGGTGAATTTTTCAAATGTACTTATTTGGTGTTTCAGGCCAAATAAGGCAACTGGGATTGAGTTCCTTTTATATTCAATAGGAGGGAAACATTTTAGATAACACTGCAAAACTCAGACTAAAATAATCTGCAGTGAGGTCCATAATTTGTTGCACAACGAAGTGGTTTTTGTAATTTAGCTGCTAAGATTGGATTTTAAAAATCAAACAATCAATATGCCACTGATATGTAGACTTCAACCTTTAAGCTGAGGGGGTTTATGATCATTTTAGATGAACCGTTTAAGAATTACAGCAAATTTTATACCAGCTGGTTTGGTCACTTCTAAAGTTCCTTACACCAATGTGGTCCAGTCTTAAATAGAATGAATTCTCTGACCACCTCAACAACCCCAAAAGATCACAGATAGCATTACCGTCTATAATCAACAGATGCTTTCATGAATATAAATACATGTAGGGTTTGGAACAAAGTGCAAACCACTGGTTACAGGAAGAACAGATCAGAAAACACTGCTTATAGAGTTCTGGGGAGAGAAAAAAACTTGTGTACACGTGTATATATGTATATATAAATATATATGGGCAAGATGAAACAAACGAAAATTAACTTGTACTATGGGTAACGATCAAACTACATCATCTGTCAAACCTGAGGCAATGTTATGACACGGGCAAATATAGCTGCCAATGGAACCGGGTTACCAACGATGTGACTGCTGATAAAAGCAGCAGAATTGTGAAGTACAGGGCAACACATTCTGCTCAGATTAAGACAAATGCTACCAAGCTAATCAGACAGTGCCTCACAGTACAAACGGATAATGGCACAACAGCGAATGCTTAAAGTTACCAAATAAATAAGCTGTAGGCTGAGCGACCCATAAACACTGAAGGTGGCAGCAATAAAGGGCTGGTAGACTGTCTCAAATTAACCAACAAGGCGTTTGATGATGTCCACAAGTTCATCCAGGAATTGAAAACTAATGAATATAAATTTATGTTATTTCATCAAATAACAAATTTTCAGATGCTGAAAATGTGGGACAATCACAAACTGTGATGCCGTTTGATTTAAAATCCACTGTGGTGGTGTAAAGAGGCAAAACTACAACACTTAAGGACCTAAATGTAGATGTGCAACAGGCCTCAGTGAATCTGATTTTGGTTAATCTGTCTCTTTAATAACCCTGCACTGTTTATTAAACGCTAAAAACTTTCCTTGCACAAACTTCCACTAAAACACCGTCTCCCTTCTTTTTCCTGCGACAGCAGCATTCATCCGATTCCAGCGTGCATTTTCAATAAAAACAAACCAACACTGATGCCATGACAGGATCACAATAATGCTGAGTCATGCGGAGATGAGTCAAGCCATTTTAAAATTTATAGTAACAGACAACCGTGATGAACGAAACAGTAACTCGTACTCGTGTTTTGACCCAACTGTCCTCAGGCTTATACATTTACAAACAGTACTCACCTCATAATTTCTTCCGAAGCCAGTAATTCTAGATGAGATGTACCTAATGTGCGGGTAGGTCACTTCAGATATGCCAGTGTGCTGCAGGGGAGGAAGTTTCATTAAGTTCAGCCTTAAAATACAAGGAATGCAGTCAGTCACACTGTAATGTGGTCCATGAAGGGTGTTGTGTCAGCTTAGCTTTATTAAAAATAAACAAAACCAACATGTGCTGCTGCCATTTCTAAAACTGAAGCCAAGTTTCAACAAAATAATTTAATTAATTAAAAACTTCTGAAAATGCAGGCACTGCATATGTGTAATGATAAAGGTCACAGATGATAGATTCCTCAATATAATAATAACATCACAACTGTCGGCTATATTTGCGCAGGATGAGAGTCGAGGATTTTTTTGGATTTGTTGAGTGTGCACTCGAAATGGTTGATGAGCCACTATTAATTGCTAATGAATTATTCATGGGTTCACTAAACCATCCTTGAAATAACTGATGTTATAAATAAGGAGCAAACTCCATTAATCGCAGCCAAACTCCATATAAAAGTGATTCATTTTCATGTATGCTAATGGATGCCTGTGTGCTGAGGGTTTCTCACCATGAAGGGGATGGGGAAGTGGTGCAGTCTTGGGGGAGGGTGGTAGTGTGGCAGGTGGGAGTGCAGGTGCCCTGAAGGGAACGGGGCTACGGCTTCGATGCCGAGCTCCCTGTTGACACAAGGCGGTGAGTCATTATTACATCAAACCACATCAATCCAAATAATCATGTAAGTGCAGTCACATTAAATATCTATAATACTGTTTCTAAAGGGTACTTCACTTCATGGGCATTCAGTTTATTTAACATAGAAAAATAACTTCAGTTTGTGACATGATAGGAAAGACTAAAATAAATAAATAAATAAGTTGTGACACTGAGATGGGTCTCCATGTTTCTTCTTTGCTTTCTTTTTGGTAGTTATGAAATCTAGGAACCACTGGATTAGCTAGTATGAAACTTACACATTACACACATTACACTCCTGATGATACTGACCATGCTGTTCTCTGCTCAGGCTGGCGAGGATGGGAAGACATAGTTTGTGGCACATGAATGTGGTGCCCATGGCCGTAGTTGGGGTGCATTCTGTGGGGGTGTGGAGGAGGACGCTCGTGTGCTCGTCTGGAAAGACAGGAAAATACATGTTCAGCAAAGAAAAGCCATCAATTATGTAAGTTTAGCCTGCACTGGTACTCACGTGGGGTGCTGCATCATCCTGCGCCTCTGAACCTCCATCCTATACATGTGCGGCAGGGTCTGGTGGTCCGCAGGGAGATGTTGGGCCAGCTGGGCACTTGAATTAGTGAGGTGGTGGGTGGACAGAGACGGGGGAGGGGCGGGCGGCACGGCGTGGCCTGGCGGGTGGGATGACAGAGGTGCATGAAAGGTGTGGGGAATGAGAAATTCACCTTGTGCTGGGGTCTGAGGTGTAAGCTGGGGGTTCCCATGGGAATGAGGACAGGCGGAAGAGGACTGATGATGCAGTGAACGTGTTAGAGGGCCATCTGGGTTTGACAAGAGATAAAGGGGAAAAGTTAAGACTGTCAAATTATGCAAGGATCTTCGTGTTAAAAAAAAGAACAAATAAATGCAGATATCTTCCGTTTCCAACCTACTCCAATCACAAGTCTAATAGTTGATGGAAAATTATCACTTTAAAATAAAATTATATATACCCAGTATGGCAGAAAGGTTCAGTTTCTCATCTGTCTAAAACAAGATATTTAGCTCCCTACAGTTTTCTTATCGGCTCGCCCTCAAAGTCAGTTTGAATACGAGGTTGCTATGGAGCTACTGCGCTCGCAACCAGCAAAGGACATCCCGTGTCTATGACCTATCAAGCCAAGGGACTAAAACCTTTTTAAAGTCAACTATTTAAAACATTGTGAGGCCTGAGCCTTGGACTCATGGGATTTACTTGTTCACATGCTGACCTCACCATTCGAAACTTTTGCTATGTTTAATACAAGCACCAGTTATCCATCCACTTTCTGCCACTCAAGCAGGTCCAGATTGCAGGGTCAGCAGTCTAAGATGAGACACCCAGCCCTCCCTCAGTTCTTGTGGTGTGGGTGGAGACCAAGACATTCCCAAGTTAGCTGAGATATGAAATCTCTCTAGCATTTCCTTGGTCTGCCCCCGGGCCTCCATCATTTGAAAGGTCAAATACCTGGACCAAGTGGCTCCTTTCTGTGTGGAGGAGTAGCTGCTCTAATCTGAGCTCCTCACCCTATCACTAAAAAGAAATCCATACAATTTGGAGTAGATCATTTCCACTGCTTACATCTTATATCTCATTCTTTCAGTCACTACCCAGAGCTACCTATAGGTGAGAATACGAACGACCCCTGAACTGACGGTTCTGTCTCTTTACTATAAAAGACTGGTATAGCATTAGGATTGCTTTAACAGTACATTTTAGAATATTATATATATGACAGAAAATAAGAAAAAACCCATTATAGGTCCTCTTGGGGCCTTGCCCATTTCCTGTTTTGAATTTGAATTTGTTAATATTTGTCCACACTGCACTGAAACAGGGAGGGTGGACAAGTAAGGGAAAGGTAAGGAGAGGCACCAGTGACTCTAAATTTTCATGACATCCCCACCAAGAATCCTCATCGCATTGCTTCAGACTAACCGGATACTGGAAAATTCTGAGTAGCAAATTAAGTTTCTCAGCACTGAGCACATTAACCTGTTAGCCAGCACTAGTGTCTGTGAGCGAGCATTGGTTAGTATTATTGCATTGCAAATCTGTTTTCATAGGCAGCAGCAAACATTCAAAACGCATTTTCAAAAGTTTAAAAAGTCTGATGTAATGTACTGCGTTGTACTCACAAGTTGGGTGCATGTAATGTCTGCAGGGCTGGGGTTGTGTTTGCGGCTGGGGCTGAGCCACCATAGGGGAGTTGAATGAGTCCACCACACTTGGCTGACTGGGCCCAGGGGTGGGCTGGGAAACATAAGCAGGGGGCCGTGAGGTGGAACCTGGGCAGCAAGGGTCAAAGGCTGAAGTGCTGCCATGGAAACTCGCCCCGCTGTTTCCACTGCTCCGAACGCTGCTGTTGCTCAGGTCCACTGGCAAAGTTTGCTATGAAAGGAAGACAGACATTTCAGAAAGAATTGGGACCAAATCTGCAGAACACTGAGCTCGTCTTTCTGAGTGAAAAAAAAAACCCATCAGGAACCTCTACTTAGTTTTTTCTCCCTCAGTCTCTAACTACAGTGCTGTGAGGAAGTGTTTGAATCCTTAATGACTTCTTTTTTCACATTTTTGTCACACATGTCAATGAAACTTCATTTAAGACAAAGACAAATCAAGTAAATACAAAAAGCAGTTTATAAGATGGTGATTTTGTAGCAAAAGAAATTGCCCCCTAAATCTAATAACTGGTTGTGCCACTCTTAACAACAACAATTGCCATAAAGTGCTTGCAGCAACTGGCACAGAGTCTTTCAGATCGCCGTGAAGGAACTTTGGTCCGCTCTTCTTTGCAGAATTGTTTTAATTCGGCCACACTGGAGGGTTTTCGTGCATGAACAGCCTGTTTAAGGTCACGCCACAACATCTGAATCAGATTTACGTCCACTCTTCGAGTGGGCCATTCCAAAACCTTCATTTTGTTTTTGTTTCTTCAGCCATTCAGAGGTGGAGTCGCTGGTGTGTTTCTGATCATTATTATGTGTGTTGTTTTTGGTCAGCAGTGGTTTTGCCTTGGAATCCTCACATAAATGCCATTTTTTAACAACTCTCCTTCTTATTGCTGAATCATGAACTCTGACCTTAACTGAAACAAGTGAGGCCCGCAGTTCTAGTTGATTCCAGGGAAGGTTCCTCACTGTTCCAAATTTTCTACACGTGTGGAATCAAGTGAACCCTCACTGTAGTTTACTTGAGTCGCAAAGCCTTAAAAATGTCTCTGTAACCCTTTCCAGGCTGAGAGATGTAAATGTAAATCATATGTTCTTGAGATGCTTTGGCGTGACCTTAAACAGGCCGTTCATGCTGGAAAACTCTCCATCGTGGCTGAATTAAAACAATTCTGCAAAGGAGAACGGGCCAAAATTCACACCAATGTGAAACACTCACTTCCAGTTATCACAAATACTTGATTGCAATTCTTGCTGCCAATGGTGGCATAACCAGTTATTAGGGTTGAGGGGCAATACGTTTTTTACACGGGGTCACACCTGAAAAGCATTTTATGGACATAAAATGATGATAAACAAAAATTCTGTATTGACTTATTTTTGAGAAGTACTAAAATGTGTTTGAGGATCCAAAGCATAAAACAGACACAAGACAAATATGCAAAAAGAAACAAAACGACTAAGAAATCAGAAAGGGGGCAAGTAGTTTTTCGCAGCACTGTAAATAAAACATTAATGATCACATTCACTGATTGATTCCAAATGCATCATGAAGCTTTGACAAAAACAGGCTCAGAAGTTGTCGTGGAATAAAATAATAACAAAAAATCCTCTCACTTCATTCACCCAGCACTCTACTGAAGGTTATGGATACTGTAGGGATATAACGAGTCCTCATGACAGAGTGAGTACAGCTGTTCTGTGTTTCCAAACACCCGTCAGATAATCTCAATAAATGCCTGGAATGAGGCAAAGAATGAAGCAACAATGAAGGTAGCTAAAAGCCTCTAACCTAACTACTGTAACTCCCCATTACTCAGACTACATCATTGCTCTTCAACATAAGGGTGATTCAGTATTTGGGGCAGTTCTTTGCTATACATTTGGATACATATTTAACTTAATAAATTATTTTTTCCTTAGCTCTGATCTTCCCTTAGCTCCACTTAAAATATCTCTGGGGTGCCAGGATTTCTTCATGCAAGAAAATAAACCTTAGTGGTCACGAAAACCTGGTTTGTGTGGAATCAGCGTATGCTTATACTGCCTCGCTAACAGCTATGAATCAATAAATATTGTACAAACAGCCATACTTGGTCATGGTAGTGGGCTGCGTTGCTGCTACTACTGCTGTTGCTGCTGCTGCTGACTCCAGCGCAGGGGGCGGGCAGAGCACTGGGTCGCACCACGGGGCATATCGGCTCCGGAAAAAGCATGGTGCCTGGGGGCTGCGGTGCTGGGTGGTGGGCATGGTGGAGAAAGTGTTGAGTGTTGCTGTGGCTGTGCTGAGAGCTGCTGGTCTGCTGAGGGGACGACGCCTGCAAGCAGCTTGGATGGGAGTGGCTCAGGGGCAGGTGACCAGGGGAGGGGCCTCCGCATGGTGAGTGCTGCTGGCAACAGGATGGGAGCCTAGGCATGGCCACGCCTGCATTTTCTCCTGTTGTACCTGACAAACCTGGTCTGTTGTCATCTGATGAGAGAAAGATATATGAGAATTATTTTTCTTTTTAAAAATGCTTTTACAGGGCAGACAATATCACAGAGGACCACACAATACAGACTAATTAGAAATTGGCCACTAAAAAGAATTGATTTTTTTAAACACAAGATGTCTCCAGACAACAGTTGAAATGAAACTGCCTGCTGCAGCAATGTCAACATGCTGTGTCCTGTCTTACCCTCTGGACCTGTGCGAGCAGAGCCACTTGGCCTCTGTGTGTGCATACTTTCAGGTGTTGAACCTGGGCAGCTAGTGGAAGGGCCTGGGGCATCATTGAGCTCTGAGGTAGAGGCTTGATGGGATGATGATGATGATGAGGACGACCTGACTGTTTGAGGCTGAATCCCGCCAGAGGTTGTTGGCACAACTGAGAGATCTGTGGATTAAAAAAAAAACAAAATCAAATGGTAATCAGAAAAGATTATGTCACCAGAATAAAAACCAGCTTACTTTTGTCAGTTGAGTTATTGATCAGAAGTAGGGTGGGAATTGGGAAGTTCAGTTCCTTGGATGTGTTAGCCTGCTTGCCTATCAATCCCCTTTATCGACTTCACTTGTGATTGTCAGACTGTTTCAGGTCATTTTATAGAAAAATGTGAAACTAATGTTAACGAATAGTAGTAATAATTAATTACTCCAAGGATAAAGACATTAAGTAATGTACAGCATTATGTTTAAGACAAGTGTTCTGTGTAATAGGTAATAATTACTTTTTTGAGTAATGAGCCCAATAATGATCACAACAAAGAGGGGAAACACCTCCAACGTGCAACATTTGACCACACAGCACGCTATTAATTTCTAGGAATGCAATGTCTTTGATATGCTGCTTGGAAATCTTGGCCACTCTCAAAGCAGAGCCAGTGAGAACTTGATGAGAATCGATAAGGAATCGAATCAATAACTGATATCGATTATGGAATCGGAATCGCTAATTTCTTATCGATTCCCAAGCACGATTATGTGTGGAGGAGACACTGTGGTATTTGTGCACACTGGTAATGTCTGCCATACCATAGTGTCTGCAGAGGCTTAGCAGCCAAGTAGAAGAGCAGACCTTATTAGCATTCCAGTGTGTAAATACCATCTGCTTTTCATATTCACAAATTAATTTCCCCTCTTTCTCCTAAGAAATGCAAATGCTCTAATACTGCGTGAGGCACCATTTTGCTACCCATCACAGGCGCAGGCTGATACAGAGAATGACATCCAGGCTAAGAGACAAATACCAATACAAAGCAATATAACAGAAAATAAAGTGTGAGATACGAATACACTGAAAAGAAATGCAACCTTACTGGTTTAGGTTAATGTTGTCACAGAACCATACAAAGCTGAGTATGAACTAGAATGACACTAAAATTTAAGTCAATTTAATAAATAATTAGCCAATTCTGTTACTAATTGTACGTTTTTTGGTAAAATATCGCTTTTGGTTCCACTCAACATTAGATCTTTGTCTGCTTACTTTACATCTCATATCTAAATTTAAAACACTCCAGAGATATGCATGTGGCTTAAATTAAAGTTCTGTAACAACTAGGGGTGCAACGATACACAAAATTCACGGTTCGGTTCGGTTCGATACTTTGGTGTCACGGTTCGATATTTTTTCGATACAAAAAAATGTTCATGCATTTTTAATTTGTCATTTATTAAAATTATAAATATATATTTTAACTCAAAAGTACAGTTTTTAAATTTAACCCTAACCCTTGTGCGTGTTTTTTATTTTGACAGCGAATGTGCACCTGCGGACCACTTATGTGCAGCCCTGGTTATTTAGCTCGTCATATTGCAGCCACAGAAATTATTTTGTCCATGAAACCATAAAGCTGCACTTTCTTTTTGCCTTATAGTCTGATTTGTCATAACTTTTCCGTTTTGCGGTAAGCTTTTCTTTGGCTGTCACTTCTTCACCCTGACCTGTCTTATTTGGCTCAGCAGAACTAAAATATATCCTGCTGCTTTTACACACGCACTCACATAAGCTCAGCGATTCTCTGCGCGATCAACCTCTCACATGTTTAAGCTGCGGGAGATTTCACTTGTCATGTTTGCATAGTAAGCTAACGATTGATAAGACGATGTCAGAGGAATTGGTGCACAAATTATCATCACTCACAGATCAGTGCTGTCGCTCTCTATACACAGTTCGCGCGATTGCAAAGTGAAAGCAAAAAACAAGCGCAAATTCAAACGCGATTTCAATATGTCACATATTGACAGTGGCTCACCGATGCCAATGACATAATTACCCAGCTACATTTCCGAAAGAATGCAAAAGCATTGACATATATTTTTCCTTCCTACAATAGCCCGACGGGCAGGGCAGAGATAGATTTTGGTAGCCCGACTGGAAAAATCGCTAGCCCCAGGACGTCGGGCTAGCGATATTGCGAGCCCTGTATCTGATTGAGGAATCACTCATCTTTGGAAAAGAGAGTTTATTACAGAGAAATGGCTCTTTCCAAAATAAAAGCTATACTATCCGCTTCTTCTGGGCTATATTCTCAGCAGCATATTAAACATCATAAGGAGAATCATGTGCTAACAGCTGTCTAAATGACTCGGCTAAAGTTAGTAGCATGCTTGTTGTTTTTGTCTTTGCACTAGGATGATGTCGGCGTAAATGTGCAGTCATATTCGTTGTGTTCCCACTAGTGCTTTCAGGTTAATCTCGTTGAAATGACCTTAACGCCACAACACGGCAAATCTCCGTTAACGAGCTACCGCCGATCGCTCCGTGCATGGGGCTAGACGGCCAACACGTTAACGAGCTAACTGCGCTAACACACTAGTTCCCACCCATGTAATTGAGCATTGCGTGGCACATCCAACATACTGTTTTACTTTAGTCCATGACTCGCTTACCTTCAGGGTCATACGTCACATGAAAACCAAAATAATTCCAAACGCCAGATCTGAATGAGGGTGGGGGAGGTTCAATTTGCCATGTTGCAAGGAGAGCTTAACTTCTGTCTCGCTAGCTTGCCCTGCGCTCTTCCTTCTGACGATGCTGTCTGTGTTGAGCGCTCAGTGGATCTGCGCTCGACAGTGCAGCCTAGGCGGAGTAGTCGAACGCAGATTCACTGAGCGCTCAACACAGACAGCATCGTCAGAAGGAAAGTTGATAAAATAAATTACAAATGTTGTATTGTTCGATACATATGCGTACCGAACCGAAAGCACTGTATCGAACGGTTCAATATCGATACGAATATCGTTGCACCCCTAGTAACAACTTGACAATTAAATCCAGTATTTTTGAGTATTTTTAAGTTTAATTTTAAATGTTTTTTCCTTGTATATATTTTAGTCTTAGTTTTATCTTTCACAGTTGTAGACTGTGACAAATAAGTTACTACAACTCTCGCACAGCTTGCGTGAAAAGTACATTAGCTGAGTCAGTAAGACCCAAGTTAAAACATCGCTTAGTAATCTTTTAACCAGGCTTTGTTGAAACGAGTTCTGTGTTACCATCTTCATCAACCGTGAGGTCCACCACCTCCCCAGCATTCTGCCGCAGCGGTTGGATAACAGTGGAGAGCCTGTGACGTCCACGTGGCTCCTGGAGGCGATTCTGGGAGCAACTATTACCCCACATTCGGCCAAGACCCCCCACTGAGCGTGACCTGCAGAAAATAGACACATTGAAAAAAAGGGGAGAAAGAAAAAGAGACTGTTACAACATGCTGGAGTTCAGGACCACCGGGACTATTCTCACAGCTCACTGAAGCATTTGCTTTACAAGAGCCAGACCAGTTCATTTCCAAGCCAGCAGATGCTGCTGCAGCAAAAGTGGATGAGGAAGTAAAAGTGAGCAGATCTGACAGAAGGACTTAGTGTAATGGCTTGTTTTGCTGCAGCATCTAAAACAGTGCATGGTAGGCTAGGGATGTGTGTGACTAGTGAGTGACACGTTTAAATGTTAGTACTCTGCTAATATAAATAATGGTCAATGCCTTTTAACTGCTAAGCAACCATCCACCACTAGTTAGCAACAGCCCCTATGACTCTGTGGCAGTAAGCTGTAAATGAGCATGCTGGAAAGGAAAACGGATGACAAGCCCTGCAACCAGCGCAGTTCTGTTATACTTTACTCCACCACAGGCTGCAGATCAAAGTGGCATATCACCACCAGAGCAACACAGAACCACAGTCTGCACACGTGTGTGGACCTGCAGAGAAAGAATTACAGCTGGTGCTGCTAAGATAAGCCACACTTGACAAACTAGTCCCCTGTCTTTGTAAAATATTTAACATCATCCATTAGGTTGTGTAGTTTTGCATTCTTTTTTGTTCTGCACTAGTTGTTTTGTTTGAAACTTTAATCATTTACTTAGTAAATTAGTCGCTAAATAAAAAAAACCCCAAAAAACAAAAATAATACAAAAAATTGACTTTTAGAATCTGCAGACTTGTTCTGCAATCAGCGTTGCATCTAAATATTCCCATCGTCTCCAACCACCTTTCGTGTTCCTCGAATTAAGTCAAAGGCTGTGCTGCTCTTGCCCCACCTTTAGCCCATTTTCTTATCTTTCTTTTAATTTTCTCTCTCCAAGGCTCCGGTCGCTCTACCCCATGGCCTCTGAGACTCAAGTGAGAGGCCAGGGAGTAGCCGCATTTCCCTCCACAGCACTGTAAATCTAGGTGATCAGAGGGAGGAGGGCATGACCTCAAGGGACAAGAGTCAAGAGACTACATGGGAGTGCCGTAAAGCCTGATGCCATGGAGCTCTGCAGCTAGGGAATTTCACTGTGGCTAAATGAGAGATTAAAAACAGGAATACAGAGCAGCAGAGGGAAGGAAGCAACAGCACAGTCTCAGTAACCCTGATGTGACCAGCTCAGAGATTCCTACTGATTGATACATATACATCAGACATCAATATGTTACTGATTAAGTCATTGTTAGATTGACCCTTTTCCTTTTTTTTTTAACCCATTTTAAGGAGCAAACTGGGGGCAAAAACTTGACTTCTGCCTGGCTTCACAAATGAGTCAATCCTCAGAGACTCACATGTTAAAACGCTGAGCTTCAGCCATTAAATAAACTTGTTTACAGTCTGGTACAAAAATAGATTTGCTCTCTATTGATAAATTTTCCCTTTGTGGCAAATGGCATCTAGGGGTGAGGCCACTTGCTGTCTACTATGTTTCACTCTGGCCAATTCAAATCACTGAACTGAACCTCTGGGCCACATTTGTGGTGTTGGTGACTTTATGAAAAAGCATTTTTTAAATGGAATTATTTGACACATAGCATGGCTTACAGTGAGTTAGAACCATCTTAATGAGTCAGTGGCTCTGTTTTTGGTTAAATCTGGTATTTCCTTAATCTGCTTACCAGGCACTAACTAGCAGGTAAATATGTCTGTGTGATACCAACACAGAGTTTATGCACACAGCTTGCTAACAATACTAGCTATGATTAGCTCGTAACTTAGCACCTCACTCTCTTAAGGCTTAATGTGTTCAAGTCTGGCTCCAAATAAAGCATGGTGATAACCAAAAGCTTACACAGGCAGAGTCCAGAAATCAGTGTGTGAAGTCTTTTGTATACAGAGTATCCTCCTGAAAAAGTGGCGCAATCTCATCAAGTTACTATGAAGGAACTTTTCTGCAGCCTGAATATTGAACTGCTAACTGTTGGAATGCATCCATATTAGTTGCCAAGGGAATTCGTCATTGCTGTTTGAATCCAGTTTGAATAAACACTGACTGGAATCTGCTATTGGCTCATGCAGAGTTCATCCAAATCGCTGTGGCAATGAATAATGGTCACCCTGGACATACTGCGGAACACTTTGTACAACATCTGTTTGAGCTCAGGATGTATGCAGAACACAATGCAAAGACCTGCATCCTCATATTTAGACTTTATGGTATTCAGCTCTTCATTTTTTGCATTTTCGTTTTAACCGAGTCCCATTTTGAACATCAGTTTTAACCCTAGAAGCTTTTTTAATCTGGTATGTTTTGGCTACTGGAACACACAAATTTTCTAACTTTTGGGGAAATTAAATTATTTCTCATGTTTTCCTTTTAACACAGAGAAAACAGAGAGAGATCACATGAATTGGAGGCCCTTGCTGTAAACGTCCCAAAATCTTTCTCTTTGTTTTAGCCAAATGACGTACTTGTGACTTCTAAGGGTATTTCCCTGATCTTGTCCGAGCAGATTACAAAACCAAATAGAAACTAGAACAACTGAGTAGAATAGGAAGAATGGACTTATTCACACCAAAGAAAGAAGTGAGCAAATACTGCAATCTTTTTTTCCTTTTACCTTGTTAAGTCATTGTCACGAATGAGGTTTTATTTTGTATTTTAAAAATAATAATAGGATTTACCACTCTGGGATCACCGGAAGAAATATTAAGACAGACTTGAGTCCAATGAACACTCATGGTAAGCCCTGAAAGCTGGTGAAATAACCAAACTACCAAATACCTTAAACCTATGGAAGTGTTACTGATGAAAACTAATGTTATTTAAAAAGCAACAGTGTTTACTGCACTGTATAAAGTTAACTAGTAAATAAAAAGCATTATTATTCCTCATTTCACTTTTAGTGCCTGCATGTTTTACTTTAATACTTTAAAGATGAATATGTAACGTTTTGAACTGGCTAACTAAGAAACAAACTGAATTAAGAGATGGCTTTGATTTCATTGCTTAAATGTAACAGAGCAAACGCTTTGTGTTGAGGGGGATTCCCACTAGCTCATACTGTCCTCGTCCAAATCAGCTTCCTCTGGGACGTACTGCACAATGCAACAATAGAGGAGGAAGCTTATTAAACTTCATACTTCACACATTGCTAACAAACACTTGTTCCTCACCACTGAACACACAGCAGTGAGGGTGGCATCTGTGGGTAGAGGGAGTGGGAGTGGGGGTGAGGGGAGGGGTGTACATGGTGGTTGTACTGGGGTCTAATTGGCCAGCATCCTCAGCTCAGGGTTGATCCCAAGGAGCAGGGCTTGCCACTAGGGATGGGCTCCTAATTAAGCAGCCCTGGGATTATTTTGTAAATATCTGTTTACCACTATGACCCCTTGAGTGTGGCAGCAAAGAGCAAAACAGTACATTGTAAATATGAACACTGTGGGAATGGGTGGCTTGGCAATGTCGAGGCTGTGCCAAACCAAAGTGTTGAGAGACACAAACCCCAGGGAGCTGAGGTTCTGTGCACTGCGGCAATGTAAACTGCAGGGACTGATGCTATGGGCAGCTAAGGCTGGGAGGTTGGGAGTTTAAAGGTTGGGAGGGGATCATACAAGGCCAACAGCACTGTGTAAGAGAGAATAAACAATGTGAGGCATTAAGCTTTGCCCTGACAGCAGTATTGGCTGTGTATTCATAATTTAGGCCTTCCAACTCTAAACACAGAGTAGAAAACTTTCAGGAATCCTGCAGAAAAATGTAGCACGCACATAACGCTCACAGAGAGTCTCGTGATATTCACTGCCCTAATATGCATATACTGAGCTGATTAGCAGAATCAGGGCAGGGGCTCATCAAGGGCTTTTTTTTTTTTTTTTAATTGATCCATGTCAGCTACATAATCCTTGTTTATTGTAATTCACTGTGCTCTGGGTGAACCAGCTGCCAAACGCAGCCCACAATGCACTGCTAAAACACTGGAATTTTCTCCTGACGCACAGCTTTACAGGCGAGTCAACTGCATGAACGAATAAATAACTGCCAGCCGTTCAAATTCAAGATGAGAACACTAACAGCAAGTCAAATGACCAATCTGAGAGGCAGTGGGTTAAAAATGGAAACACTTTACTTAATTTTTTTAGCGTTTTTCCCCCACTTATGTCAAACGTGCTGCTGTTGGTTTAAACCTGCATTTGGAGTGCCACATTTTGCACAAGCTGGGAGTGAAGAGAGGCTGTCCAACCCTGTATGGTTTTACTTATCAGGCTATTTATTATGTTATCTTCAGCTTTTATACTGCGTTCCAGTCTTTTTTGACTGGTTTTGGCTGATCTAAGACTGTTTCTCTCCGTTTTCAGAATAAAAAGTATATCTATGTGTAGTGAGACTTAGGAAACCCACTCTTCTGCCTACAGAAGTTGTTTTCATGCAAATGCATCACACACAATTAAATAAATCACATCAGAAGCAGCCAATCACCCAAAATACCAAGAAAAAGTCACGATACAATATGTATGTGGGTTTTCATACTTCTGAATATCGTGCCTGTACTAATATAAACTGCATGTGAACATATAAATTAGACCACTGGCAGTGTGAACAAAGATTTCACTGCTCATTCTCCTGGCCTTTGATTCTCCGCCCTTCTGCTCTGCTGCTGCCCATCCCCCTTACAGCAGAGCTCATCTCTACATTCTCTAATGAGACAGGACATCTTTGAAAGTGAGGAAAACAGGCAGACAGGCCATGACATCGCAGGCTGGGTATACTCACTTCCAGGAACTATTTTTCATATATTACTGATAGACTAATGTGAAAGGTAGGAACAGGAAAAATATGGTTAAAGACAGAAAGCCAAAGGAGACAGATGGAGGTTAACACAGAGGCAGAGGTTTGTGAACTGAGCTGCATAATCGCCTGCATGAGGAGACAAGAAGTTATATGAGAAGAGAGAGAAAAAGATTCATTGGGTGAGGAAAATGGAGGTGGGTGTAGTGGAATACAACTTCTCTAAACACACTGCTCTCAAATGTCTGTCTCTAACTAGCATCCATATCAAAAAGACTTGAGCATTATATACAGTGATATGGCAGCCATGATACCAATCAGGCTATGCAATGTATACAGTGTTTCCCTAAATACGGACTTTACTTGTGTGAGATGCCCAGGTATATCAAAAGTACGATAAGTATATTCTGCATCTCATTTTAGCAGTTTCTTTATTAGTGAGTAATTCTGTTAGCTGGCACTGCTGTGGCGGTCCTTGATATCATTTAGCCGTCTCTCCAGAAAGTCTATTACGCAGTTGTGCACAGTCCAACCAGCCTTGTGCATGCCGTCGTTCTGCTGTGGAGAACCACTCTAAACAACAACAAAAAGGTACAGAACTGGTTCATGTGCTGCAATGCTGAGCCCAAGAGGCTGCAGAGCAAAACTAGGACTACAACTTTCTCCATACGCACCAGAGGTTGGTAAAGTTGGACTCCATCCTCGGGATAAGGGACTCAGTGTGGAAGCAGCTAGTTATTGTTGTTATTCTTTGCCACAATATAGCACTACATCTACTCCATGGTAGTTTTAAGCTTACATAATAAACCTCTAGTGATGTTAAAAAAAACAAGTCTGGAATACGTTCTGATGTATACATGTATACATGAAACGTGAATTTTAGAATTATTCTGTGATATGGGATCATTATTCACATTGGTTATATATAGTTTTACAATTTTAGTAGCATATAAAAAAGCGGCACGTCAAAGTGACTTTTTTTGTCCCTGCCACTTAAATCATTCGTGGTGTAACAAGTTAACTATATTTAACTATAAACCTTTAGTCACGCATCTGGTTGACCTCACATTGTGCTTGACATATCTAGAAAGATTTAAATGGCAGAGGCACAGCGTAGGTGGCTTCAGGGTGATGTGGGTTTACAGCTATAAACATGTAGCCATGCAGCTCTACTAGGACTGGTTTCTCTGTTCAATGTAAGCAGAGCTATGGAATCCATGAACAAAACAAATCAACTAAAGCACTACACACCCCCATCCTACAACTTCTCTTTAAGCAAGCAATGACCAACCTGCACTTACTCCTTTTTCTAGTTCTGTCACAATGGCTACACCCACACTAACAAAACCAGCTGTCTAGCGCTTGGTTTAAGTCTTATAAGGCATTTTAAACTATCCTTACTGCACATTATCACAGATCAACCCTTAAAATAAAAGGTCTAAGAGAGCAAAGTGCTGAAGCTGGAGCTAACAGTGTCTTAGCTATTCCAGTAAATTTAAGAGGAAAGCCATGTCCTGATACAAAGCAATTCCCCTTTGCTCTGCAGCTGATGTCTGGTAAAGATTTCACAGTGGTTAGGCTACATCACACAGAACTAGATAAGTTGTTACCCTCCTGGTAACCCCACCCCAGATGCTAGAGAAAAATGTGCATTTCCTAACTGGATGGCAAGTGAGTTGCCGGCTGTCACTATGTGAAAACAGTTGCAAAGAGGACCCTACTGCACCAAAGATCTTATTTGGTTAATAGCAGACTGCAATGGTCACCCTTAGTTTGAATGGAAGATGCTCTTCTCTTGATGAGTTAAAATTGACCCACTGAGCTAAAACTGGATAAAAATGCAAAGCAAAATAGAAAAAAAAAGAAAGATTTACCATATTGTGACAAACAACATGTTTCAAAATGCGCAGTTTCTACAAATGGTCTCTTTTCAGTTTGTGTTGCACTTCTCATAGTTTCACGAACACTTGGAAGGGGTTTGCAGGTGTTTGTAGACAAGATTGTTTCTTCCATGCAAACTACAGTCGAGTGCAGCAACCTGCTAATGACCAAAGCAACAGTAAGGTGGTTTTCAATGCAGCACTGTGTACCTCTTTGTGATCAGTTTCTAGTTTCAGTTTTCACTAGTGACTTCTTGCCAATTGTCACAGAAGAAACAATTTTCTCTGGTGACCAGTGGTTACTGGGCGTCACTGGCAGATCTCTAGGACTGCATGAATGAAGCTTTAGCATCTGCCACTAACCAGCAGGCATTCACATGGTATGCATATTTTTTTCCAGCAACCTGTGGATTGCCCGATAGTTGCCAACCAGTCTCTTAGCATTGGTGCCTCCCATCTAATGCATTTACCATTCCCTCATATGTCAATCAACAGAATCATTCACTCCCATAGGTAGTCATGTCAGTAGCTCGTGTCAAAGTTGAGGAGTTATTACCTAGTCTGCTAAAAGGTACGCTAAGGATGTAGCTTTGCCAGAAACTTTAGTATCTGCAGAAAGTCTCGCATTAATCTGTCACACTGACCCAAGTGGACACTTTGCATTGTTGTGAAAGCGTAATGCATAGCACTGGTATACAAAAACAGCATTAACAGCACATGCGTAAAAGTCTATTTTTGCAAGTTAAGAAAAGTCCTAACCCAACTTTCACAATACTGGGCTTGAGTTTTTGTTTGCTGACAAAAAAGCAAACTGTACTAACAGTTCAGACGCTTAGTCTGCATCCACCTAAAACCCTTAAGAATTCAAAATAGAATCAGGGTCAAATTAATTTCAGATCTTATTTTACTCTCACTAATTACTCAAAAAGCTGGGGTGCCTACCTGAACCCATCTCCAACTGTGACGATCTCTACCTCACTGTCCGTTGAGGTCACATTGATCTCCTCACTTGCAGGGACAGCAGGAGCGGGAGCTGGAGACGCCTCAATCACCACGACATCCTCGTCCAGAGCACCTGAATAAATCCATTACCAAAAGTTAGTGTAGTACTCCAGACTCCCTACAATACAATATTATCACAATATTTCACTCATGATGCATTATTATTTACATTTTTAACATATTGATTATTAGATCACAGTTATGTGCAAGCCTTCAACTTTCTCTGATGGTGATTGCAGTCAGTCCAGGTCAGAGTTCAACTGCTTGCAGAAAGGTTGCCTCCTATCATCCAATCTGTACCTTGCGATCAACACGCTCAAGCTCTGTGCAACCATTTAGACATCACAAGCTGCAATCGGTCACAGAATGTTAAAAAATTCAATGCAATCACCAGGCAGATTTTCTTGTAGATGCAAGGATGTTGCTGTCCTACTTTTACTCATGTGACTGAGCCCTTAGCTAGCTTGATGAAGCTGACTCCTAGTTCACAGCAAAGTGTGTCCAATGTTGGATGTTTTTTCAGTTGAGTCAATAAAATGTATGTTTGCTCACCTAATGTTATCCCAGGATGTACGAGATGAGCCCTCTTTTTCATAGTATCCCCAGAGTAATTTAATGTATTTAAGAAAATATAGATATCATGTGTCCCTGCATTGATACAATACCACCATATGACAATACCATTCTATCAATTTCCCCCCCAGTTCTAATAAACTGACCAGATACTATCTGATAAATGCAAATATCATTTAACTACAATAAAATTAACAGCATAAACATGTCATAGTCCGAATTTTTATTAATCTCAGTTTTCTGCTTACCAGAATCAAGTTAAATATAAATAACTAGCTTAAAGCATACAAATAACCCAACCAATAAACCTTTGTGCTGAAATTGCTCAGTTCAGCAGCTCTGGGCAGCTCTGGGCACAAGAGAAATGTAATCAATGCAACAGATCCCACTCCATCTCTACTTGCACTTAACACCATGGGACCTTAACACTAAGGTGAGTCTGCAAAGCGTTAATGGTTGCACTGACACATCAAAAGAAGGAAACCAGAAGATATTATTACATTATTTGTAAAGTAATCCATTTTAAAAATACAATAAGCATTATGCAAACCCACAAATGTGTATTTATTTAATTTTCCGATTTATATCTAATGTATGTGGTCAATTAATAACACTCAAGGGGTCCTGTGTGGGTGCATGTATTAATGCCACCCACATTATACTCAAGGAGCCCAGTGCATCATAGGCACTGCTCAAACAGGTTAGTCATGGCAAACTAATTGGAGAGAACTGCATCATTCCTCTCAGCACTGCAAATGGAGGCAGTGCCGGTGCCATGGTAGGGTAATGACAGCAGTGTCCCCAAACATGAATTTATTTTAGGGTTAGCTCCAGACTTGAAACTATAAATTTGTCTCCACTAATGATGACGACAATACACAGTATAAGTCAGAGACATGATTATTTCTGCTTACAGTCCCATGCCTGTTTCTAATTATTATCACAATATCTCAGTGCAAGTCAGAGTTGCTGACTCATGCATTGGGTGTTTCAGTCAAACTTACAAGTTCTCTCCGACATGGTTGGCCTTCCACATAAATACCAAGGCAGGCTTACGGCGTATAGCACATTTAAACTGTAACACCTTATGATCTCTAAGGAATGAAATTCAGAAAGATTTGTAGAACAGAGCTTGTGGAAGCTGGTTAAGAGATTTTAAAATAACTTAAATTAATGCTTGCTTAATTTACTTAGTGCTAGAGTATATTTGTGCACTTTGTTTGCTTAGTTAAACCGTGTCTTTGTGCATATCACCAAGTGACTTGCCATGTTACTGAAGTCTAATTCCCCAGTGTGATTTCTATTCCTACTCTCTCATGAGAACTGCTGCTTAGCACCTTCTGCAAGTCTAGCTGCCTGGCACTCAGGTGAAGCCTTTATGTAGTCACAAAAACAACAAGTTGGTTGGGAACTGTAGCCAATATGTGCAATGTTTAATAAGATAAACAACACCTCGTATTACTATACCTTTTAAAAACAAACACAACACTGTAAGGACACATAATATGCTTGAGGCAATTTAGTTTGGCCAAGAGTCTGATCTGTGTTTAAACCAGTAATTTACCAGAATTTTTATTTGATTTTGTTAAAGAAATTCAATTAAGGTGTAAACTGCATTGAAACTGAATTGAAATTAAATTTGGCTGTGATATTGTTTTCCCATTTTAATACATCGTGTATGATTTAACTCTTTCCTCTCTACATCACACACCTACATCAAACCCTGGACAAGGAAGGTTTCATCACTTGCCTCCTTGCTTTTCCCTGCTGTAAACAAATGCCTTGTTTTTCCTCAGAGACTCACTGTTTCTATGCAAAGGCTGCTGCTCTACAGTGTTTGAGTTTTCTCCCACCTGTCTCCCACCACAAAGGCACAACAACTAACTTTCCATTCTCCCTTAGGGCCACAGCAGCAGAAATATCGCTCGGGCTAAACAGCTACATGAAAGAAACAATGAACGAAGGCGGAGGTGGAGCTTTTCAAAGGATTTCATTCTTACAGTCACTGAGAAACAAATCACAAAGTTATAGTTTGAATTTAGTGGCTTCATAAACCTGAACAGGTACAGAGGGCAGCAGTTGGCATTTCTCTGAGGTAGGGCTCTGATTATTCAGCCATCATATTCTAATGTATGTTTCAACATTCATCACATTTATGAAATGGTGTAATGCAAGTCAAAAACTATAATAAAGTTCATTTAATTTTTTTTTAGTTTCCTTTCATATTAACGGGACATGCTAGTAAGCCAGAATAAAATCTCCTTCTGTAAAAGGAAAACCTGTAGACTCTGATCCAGCTTCAGAAAACAGAAATTAATAGGGTTTTCATTTTGCTCATGTTAGTCTCATTTAGCCATGCTGTGCCAAGCCATGATTTTCCAACAGGCTCACAGCAGGGGCTAGCCAAGCAGCTGTGGTCCGTCTTTATAGCAGGCCAGATGAAGGCCTCTTTCTCTTAAGGACCCTCATGGTACTGTGCGGGTCATGTATAGGTGTACACAGAGCTTTTCAGACCCACATCTATACGTTATGGTGGTCTACTGCCCGCTGGGGGCAGTTTAAAAATTATCTGGAATGCTGACTACTCTTGTTTAGTTTTCAGCTTAGCCTGAAAGAAGTCAAACTATTTAAAGAAGTTCTTTGTAATACAGTGAAACATAGTGTTAAAAACAACTAAGGACTTTCTCAACTTTGGCTCACCACTGCATGTCACCAAACCTAGGCTACACAAATGGACGCAAATATGGGACCATAAATCTGGCTTTGGCTGTGTCCTGACACTGTGCTGGACGTTACTGCAAGATCTCGGTAAAGTAGTTCTGTGTTTGGAGCTCAGCACTTCAGTAGCTTCTACTTGAACCTCTGTGGTTAGTTTCACTCTGGTTTTCCCATTTGTGCTTTCAGATTGCAGTACACACTGTTGTATTATTTCAGTGGTATAATTATTATAATATTCACAATTGAATCTACCTCGCTATGGCTTCATGTCAATCACTGCATGTAACCTTGCAAGATAGATGTGTTCGGACACATGCATGCTTCTGAACATGTAAATGTGCGTGTATAACAGTTACACTGACCCATCATTATTATTAAATGAAAGTAAAGAGGATCTTTATGACTTATGATTTAATGTTTAAATTACACCGTAATCTGATCTAATCTGACTGCATTTTGATAGACAGTCATCTGTCTTGTCGCCATAACCTTTTTTTTCTCACCCCGAGTGTTTAAATTGGTGAAAAACACAGTGTGCAAATGTTACATTAAAGAGCAGACACAGGTCTATAGGTCGAAGGTTAAACTGTTAGGGAAAAAAAGCCAAAACATCACAAACGCATTTTAGCTGTTCAGCTGATATCTGTTCATTTATGTTAGTTATGATTAATTAATTGTATTAAACATACGAAAATCTCTTCATCCTGGAAATGTGTGTTTCTCTCACCTGTGCACTACTGAGATTCTTTTCACACTGTACAATATATGGGTAGGACTGCTCTAATGGTTGCACCTTAAAACTTCCATGTCACCCCGCCCTAATAGCGATGCTATTGTTCATCTGTGATTCCGCAGTAATTATGGAGTAGGAGACCCTACCCAACCAAACCTGGAGTCCAAAATTGTACCAGCACACCTAAAGAGCTAGTGGCTCCAACTATAGAAACAAATGAGATACTTTTCATCATTAAACTTCTACACCAGAGAATTAGATCCTGATTGTGCTGTGAGGGAACAGGAAGTCTATAAAAATTCCATACTCTGCAACTCTTGACTCAGTCTTCTCAGGAAAAGGGAAATTGGTGCAATTGGTGAACTATACAGTTCTAACATCTTGAAAGTCAATGTTTGGTACAACCTCCTTTATTTTTAAACACAGTCTGAACTGTGTTAGCCAGGTTTTCTTGTAATTTTGTTAAGTAGTATTAAGGAATAGTTCTCTAGGCTTCTCGAAAGACATTCAAATTTTTTGTTCTGTTCTCTATCAAGATGATCCCACAGTGCTTTGATAATGACTCATATTGTTCCACTATATGTAATATGCTTTTATTGAATTGGCAGTGTGTTTAGGATCGTTGTCATGGTGAAAATTTAAATTGTTGTCAATCAGATGCTTTCCTATTAGAGACATGACTTTCAGATACTCTCCGTCTTCCTTTGATAGTATTTTAAGCCTGTCAGTTCCTCCAATTTTTAACGACACTCTGCACACCATTGTAGGTAAGTTTTTGGCTAATAGCTCTCTGTCAATCACCTTGTTGGCCAAAAAACTTATGTTTATGCCTGCCAGACTGTTATTTTTAGCTTTTTGTCATAGATTCGATTAAACAAATGGAACTAAATCATCTGCTTTTGTGACCGGCTGCTGCTAAAAATGCAATTTTAAATTGGTCCTTTGCTAAGATGTCTGTTATTTGTGGACAGTGCTCGTCCATCTCTTGACAAAAAAAGAAAGTATTCCTCTGAAAATGATCAAGTACAAGGACCTGATTGAAAGGGAATTAAAAAACATAGCAGTTAATGTCCAAAGAGACCGTTTAAAAGTCTGGATAATTACTGATTGAATCCTGGCTCTTTGGAAGAAAAATATAAATAAATAAGGAGTGACTCAATACTTTTGCACATTACTGTATGAATATTACAGTAATTTGGATATATATGTATTTTTGTTTTTAATCTACCACACTAACAACCTTTATTGTGAATAAAAGCAGTCAGTGAAAGCTGCACGACACATGTTGACCTCACGAGCCATTTCTGTTTTTTCTGTTCCGCTTTTCAGTGCATGTTAATTTAACATTGCATCAACGTACTTCAATTAAAATATGTTAATTCATGCTGGATGGTTGTGCAGCATTAGAGATCATGGTGACCGTGATGTTTAGGAGAAATAATTTCCATCATAATGTTACAAGTGTGGTGATTTTTTCTTCAAAGAGCTGAAAACAACCCATTACATAATGGAAAAATAAATGCCCAGGCTGTGGTGTATAATTTTGCCTGCTGGTACATATAAAACCCATCTTACCCCATGTCATGTCCAAACAATCTAATCTTTCTTTTACAGACTGGTTACTGAGAAAATAAATTATTCCCTTACTTGTCAATTCATTAAGCACTAAAAACGAATCCTACAAAGTAATGTAACACAGAGATAAATGTATAACAAAGTAAGGGTTAGTGATTACCTGAGGCCACAGCAGCACTGTTGGTCTGGCTGCTAGTGCTGCTGACATCTACATACATCTCATCCTCTGCTTCAGTAGAAGATTCAGAGGACAAGTCGCCGCTGAGCTCCTCACTGGAACTACTGGTGCTGTGGTGTAGAGCATACTTCTTGCGTGCAAACATTTCACGATTCTTTCTCTGTTGTAGTAGTCTCTCCTTTTGCTTCTGAGTCCGCTGACCTCCTCCAGGAGCCGTTTTCACAAAGCGTTTCCTATGTAGAGGCCGCCGGCTGCTCAGGCACGCCCGCTTCAGCAGCACGGGCTCAGCATCAGACCGCACCCAGTTATGAGTGCGGCTGCCCCGAGTTCGGCCCATAGCAGGGCGCAAGCCGACTCCAGTGGCTCCGCCTCCTGTCAGGGCAGGGGCCTTATGTTGGCCTCCTGTTGCTCCTGCTTCCCCCTCGTCCTCCGAGCTAAGAGTGTCTGAGTCCCCGAATCGCAGGCTGGATGAAGGGGACGAAGCACAGTCACTAAAAGAGGACTCGTGATTATGCTCATCCTCGCTGGGTTGCTGTAAAAGTTCTACTCTGGGACGCTGAGGTGCCAGTGAACTCTCACTGATGTGGCCATCCTTGAGCGAGCAGTCTGATGGGCCTGCCTGTTGGCCTTTTCGTTTTCTACGTCCGGGAAAGCTCCGTTCTGAGTCTCTATGTGTCCCCGTGTCTCTCAGGGGCCGATGCCTCGACTCACAAAGAGTTTCAAAATCGCTGCCAGCTTTTCCAATCACCTCCATGTTGTTAGGGAAGCTCTTGGATGCCTCCATGGGTTCGGGATTCACCAGTTGCTCCTTCATATGCTCCTGTCTGTTGGCGGCCTCAGACGGCACCTCACTCTTCATGGTGGCAGGTCTGACCTCACGGAGCAAAAACCAAGTGAACTTGCATTAATTCCAAAGCTTCTCACCACTGCATGTCACCAAACCTAGAAAAGGGGGAAAATGTAAGAGTTAAATAACACAGGTCAGTCAACAAAGAAACAGAAAATAAAATAAGCAAAATGTGAATGAGTACTGTCAGCTCAATGTAGGTCTGATGGATGAGGTATTAATAGTCTATGTTACACAGTAAACACACTTAAAGTCCTCAGTAGTCAGGCAGCTTCAATTGACCAACTTAACTAAATAAGACAATTCAATCATGTGCTTTTCAGTGTTCTTCAAACATGACTAAAATCTGCCTTACAGACATAATTTAAACTGAAGTAAATGTAAATGTTTGTTTACACATCCAGAAGAAAATACACGGAGAGGGAAAACCAAAAGCATCAACTACTGATGGACTCTGTTATGGCCTCTGCAGCCTATCCTACAACAAAAACAAAACGACAACAAACAAACAGACAAACAAAAAACACTAGATGCAAAAACAGGTAAGAAACATACATTTAATCTAAGATGCATAAAAGAGAAATAGTAGATGATTGTTCTGTACTGATGGTGTTTAAAAGGAGAAAAATAATCATTTCTTAATTCAAGTAAACACTCATTCATGTTGAAACTAAAAAACAAAACTAAACAAAGTCTGAGAATATTTTTATTTGAATACTTTAGTAATAAGCTGGATAAAACCTGCAGACAGCTGTCAACAAGTTATTTAATCACTCCTAGCAATGATTTATCATGTCGTCTTTCAGGACTAAACTGTGTTTCCTTATTCCAACTCAAGAGGAGGTGAATACAGCTAGGCCGGAGCTAGACTTCCTGACTCTGAGAAGTGCATGAATGCACGAACAAGTCTTCACTCTTAATATCCTTAACCAAATGCAGCATTTTTTAAATAGACTGTAAGACAATTATACTTCTATTTTCATTCTGCACTGAATTGTTCAAGGTAAACATTTTTGACATTTCACTGGCCAATCAATAACACGAAGAAACAGTAATTCATCTAAAACAATACCTCACCGTCTAAATACAAGACAATATATTCACTGAACAGGTCATTTTGTTTTCTCATACAAATTAACACAGAATGACCCCAAGCTGCTGATTAAAGACAGTAAATAAATACCCATAGGCTGACTCAAAGTAATGATGAGTCAACAGCCCTGATATGTTTGCATTGTTGTGGATACCAAGAAAAGCATGACAAAAAAAATAAATAAATCTGAAAGGGAGACAAATTCTTGCGTTTATTTCATGACTACATGAGACTATATGAGTTATATTTGGGTGCACCAACGTGTATCTGTGAAGAGAAGGAGCCTCTTTCACTCTGGTGCCATGGGAAATTTTTTCACAGTGGTTTTGAAGTCTCCGAGAACAACGACAAACCCAGTCATTTGTGAAATTTAAACCATTTTTGCACATACAACAAAAAAAGCTATTTTCCGTGACTCCACGTGTACATTCTAAAAGCACACAGCAGTCAACAGTGCTCTTTGCACCAACATGGAGTATAAAAACCGATAGGGCTCTGTTTCCAAACTGTCAAGAAAATCACGATGCCATTTAGTGATCAGTGAAACTGTTCACTGATCCAGAATTCAGTAGATGTAAAGCAGAATACTTTCTTGCAATATATTACATAATAAATATATTGCATAGCTTGGCATTATTGGCAATCCTGGATTTGTGTTTGGAAACATATGGACTGCAAAGGTACACATTAGAAATCTGTAATAGAAAAGGCTTTAAAATTGCTATTAAAAAGGGCAGAAAACATTCTGTTTACATACTGTAGAACATGGGATCCTAGCCTGACCTATATATCCATGTATAAGTGGATACTGGCTTATTTAATATACCATATGAGCATTCATGTTTTGGCATCAGAATCTTTCGTTTTACTGATTATAATGCAGAGAAATATGTTTGGGGGTAACAGCAACATCACATAGTTTTTCCATCAGAACAGCTAAGGCTCAAAGATTACTGCAGCAAATGCAGTAGAGTAGCACCAGAATGGAGCCAAGCAGTGACTTTACAATAGGTTAGGTACTGAAGGGTTAATAATCAGCAATCCTATCATGTTCATTTTTCAGTAAAGCTATAATACACTATATGTACCTCAACAGTTGCAAATATATTGATAGAGAAATTTAAACTTCCCAAATATTGGCATTAACACAATCAGTCTAGTTCTGTATAAGGTATTTTCAAGCACGAACAAACTATTTGATCATCTCTTAAAAAACAGATCAGTATTTTTCTGGCTAACTTTTTTCTGATTTAGGGCGCTTTATACCATCAGTAAACCCAAAGTCAAATAGTCTGCACTGTATGCATGTAGCAACAAGCTGGTCGTACTTGTTGACCCGATGTAATCAGAAAACAAATTCATGATGCTACTATTTCAGAATATAATTTGGGAACATATTGTACCAACTCTGTCAATGCAGCCATCTGGAAGTACAAGTGATGTAACACAACACAAAAATATGAAATCAGAGCTTTGCTAGTCCCTGTCCACATTGTGTGCTGGGAACACACAATTCACAACAATATGAATTGGATTTCAATTTCCTGCTTCAATCTGCTTTTAGAAAAAAAATGGAGCTAAAAGCTAAAATACCAAACATGAAGAACACTGCATGCATTTAGGACAGACACAAAGTCAGTTGATAGCAAAAATAAACAGTTTCTTTTTAAGATACAAAATAGGGATTTTTAAAAAAAAAAAAAAACCTACTACACAGTTCAACATGCTCCTGGAACTGTCTGAGTAAAATGCACTGCACTGCTTTGGTATGTACATTTGTGCAACTCGTGTAGGCTACAGAGCATTTCCTGAGACAGAGAAAAGCCAAATGCACAAGTGACGTCCATTAGCAGCATATTGCACAACAGCACCCTGGCTGTCACTTGACCTGAAGATGCAACTTCTGTCAAAGGGGATGCTGGGTTTTATGTGAGCAGAGAGTGATTTGCTTAAGTATTTAGCATAACTGTGAAAAGCACACGCAACAATGGTCTTATATGCTTTTATATATATCTCTAACACATAAGTGAGAGTGCTTCAGATCTCACTGTAAAAGCTGCGCAATGACAAGCATGAATTCAGGGGCCTCAGAGGACAGCCTTGAAGGGGAAAAAAATCCCAAAGGCTCAAAGCTGCACCATAATACTGCTGATTTCTAATGCAGGCGATAAGATCACGAAGAAAAGGGGTAGTTCTACCACGTTAACTGGTGCCTATCTATACTAGAAAATACATGGGGGTGGGTGCAATCAGAAATGGCAACAGCAAACCAATTCAAGATGTACGACTGATTCAGTACTGCTGAGCTCTAACGATACCCACAGTGCTTTCTGACCACTAACAACTGATTAGGCAAGCAAAAACACAGATACATAGATTTATTTAGGCTGGCAGTATCGAGCCTGAAGCTGGGGGCTAAGCATACTTTCTACAACGCTTAACAATTACAATAAGCCCAGCTGCTGTCTGCCTGCCTGCTTGCCTGTCTGTCTGTCTGTCTCTCTCTGTATGTCCCATAAACGGTGCCGAAGTGACTGAGGCTGGATAATGTCGCTTTATTAGGAAAGCACTCACACCACAATATCAGCTACCAATATTACGATAACGAATCGAGAGAAACCAGAGTGGACAGCAAGCCGTTGCCTGATAAATATCCCAGACAGAAGACAACAAAGACAACACGTACCTGTGTCCAAATCCTTTTTTCAAAATGTGTCACCGTCCTTTTTGCAACATGCGGGGTTGAATCCTGCAGGAAATAGTGACAAGTAGTGAAAACAGGTAGTTTTCTACGTGTTACCCGAACTGCAACTAGGCAGGCCTAGCACGCAGAAATCGCGACCCGGAGGACTGTAGCGGCCGGGATTGTGAAACTGGCAACACAGTCCCGAGCCGTGCCGAGAAGCAAAATCGAAGGCAGTGGGCCCCGGATGGCTACGAGCTAAGCTAACGCTAGCTCCACTTCACTCAGTAAATACTCGATTATTATCAGCCATTTTGGCTCGAAATGGAAACCCAGACGACTCGAACGAGACAATACGACTTCCGTGTTATTTCTCTATGTGACAAGATAAAAAAATCTCACTGTTTGCCCTCGACGAAGTTCCCATTCCTGCCTTCCGAGGCATCCACTGTTGTTTACCCAGCAGGTCGTCTCTTGGCTGGCCGCTTCTACAATGCAGTCATTGCCCGTAATGCCGCATGGGGGCGCTGAACCCCCGCCATCTACTTTTACGACACTTTACGACAGGTTCTTTACTCTTGAAAAGTGTGCCTTAAAAAATAATAATAACAACAATATAAAATGGTCGTTACAACCCAGACGGGAGAGTCTCTCTTTCTGTTTTTTTCTGCCAACAGGAAAAGAGTAGAACACCGGTGTAGTTATAGGTGTTTAATCCTATTGCCGGAGTTAATTTAAGATTATGTAGCGTTATTCGAGCCTCTATTTCAAGTACTAGCACGCCCACTAGTGTCTACTAGTAGACATAGATTTTTTATGAGCATAGATGCGAGATTTTTTTAAATATTAAGTACTATTCTTTTACAAAAAACAAAAACTAAACTAAACTAATATCGCCACATGCATCCAATGATGTAAAATAAAAAGAAGAACAGGAACAAGCTAGATCCTGACATAGTAATATGAAAATGTAGTCACTTTGATTCTACGGTATTTTTTTTTTTATCAGGACTTAATAAAATTCATCAGATCATAGAGAAGCAGTTGTTAAAGGACTATTTCAAAACAATTTGAAATTCATCATTCTACAGTTAGAACAATTATGCACAGGTGGATAACATTAAAGACAGCTCTGAGGTTTCCCAGGAGAGGACCTGTGAGTAAACTCACCCCAAGATCAGACCATGCAATGCTCAGAAAAACTGCTAAAATAAACAAGTGTTACATGTCAGACTCTTTTAGGATGTTATGATTAAAGTTCATAACAGAACAATTTTTTTTTTAAAAGACTGCTTGCTTGGAAGTGTTGCCAGGAGAAAGCTTCTTCTCTCTAAAAAGACATGACAGCAAGGGTTAGGTTTGAAAAGTTGCATTTGGACAAACCTTGAGACGTCTGAAACAATGTCCTTTGGACAAATGAGATCAAAGTGGAGCTGTATGGCCATAATACAGGGCACCACATTTGGAGAAAGTCACACACCTCATATAAGCAGAAACACCTCATATCAGCTGTCAAGCACAGTAGGGTGAAGGTTTGTTTTGTTTTGCAGCCACAGGACCTGGACACCCTGCAGACATCAATTCAAACATGAATTGCTCTGCATTTCGGAGTTTTCTAGAATCAAATGTGAGGCCATCTGTTCAGCAGCTAAAACTTGGCCTAAATCAGGTCATGCAACATGTCAGTGATCCCAAGCACAGCAGAAAATATACAGCAGCATGGGAGAAAAAGAAAATCAATGTGCCGCAATGACCAATCAAAGTCCAGACCTGAACCTGACTGATATGCTGTGCTGGAAATTTAAGACAGCTGACCTTAAGAACAAGTGTCAGCAAACCTCAGAAAAGTGAAGAAATGTCAAAAAGAAGAGTGGGCCCCAATCCCTCCACAATGATATAAGAGACTAATGAAGTCAAAAAGAAAATTGCTGATTGTGTTTCTACCAGTTATCAAATCATTGAGGGGTGTACTTGGTTTAACATGTCATATATTTTGATTAGTGTGCTTTCTTTTCACCATTGGCTGTCTATTTTTACAAATAGACAGTCATGGGAGGAAGCTGGAGTACCCGGAAGGAACCCACGCAAACAGGGAGAACATCATGCGAACTCCATACAGGCCTGATGGTTGAATTGAACTCAGGACCTTCTTGCTGTGCAGCAACAGTGCTAACCATCGCGCTGCCCTAAAAGTTAAAAATGAGGGAAAAAAATACAAGCATGCGTGTCCAAAAGAAGAGGAATCTAATGGTGGTTGAATGGTTTTTCTAAGTTGAACAGTATTGAACTTACGGAAGATTAAAAGTAGAAGAACAATGCTTAATCGCATCCACACTAGATATCAACAAATGAAATGTAAAACAAAGATTTAAGAGTAATCAAATTAAATTACAGAAAACACCAAGTGTGGTACAATTCCTTAATCTCAAAACCCCTCCAGGAAGCAGCGGTGGGAGTATTCACACGTATTACTTTGGACGACAGCATTCTCACCAATCTCCACATTACTGTTAGTTGCCACAGACGACTGTGAAATCTGTTCCATCTAACAACTCGTAGCGTTTCAAACATGTTTTACCCTTTGGCTTAACATGAACTTATAGACACTCTTTAACATCAAAGGACATAGCAGTGTGGCTGAGAGCTCCTAGACGCTGGATTGTTGCGTGAGACTTCCTGCAGTTCTCCAGCTAGTCGGTTTGTGAGTGGGAGCTTGCCACAGTGAAGTTATTTGTACTAACGGCTGCCTCTGTTATTTCCCGGTAGGGGTACGGAAATGAGAAGGCAGCAGGCACGGACAAACAGAGCATGGACACGGCACGGTGGGAACACCGGGCGCACACGGGGATTCATTGTGTAATATTTACATCACTGTAAATAAATGCACTGCACTGATCGCACAGAGTCCTGCGTTTTGGGTTCTATTTTCCCCACATTCCCACGGTCTGCCAGCGTAGCCGTGACAGATAACTTCAAGTCCTGCAGATGTAAAACTTTAAAAAGAAAAAAGATCACAGGCAGCTGAGGACATGTCGCTGTTGTGTGGGATTTTAATGTTTGTTTGTTTGTTCTTTGTTTGTTTATTTTTTTTACCACGTTTATTGCTAAAACGTTTAGCATTAGTAAAACATGTAAATACATAGTAAAAAGGCTCGGAGGAGGAGGAAGTTTTGGGCGAGTGGTGCAATGCGTAAAATTGGACACATTTGAAACGGTAGCAGTCAAGCAGGGGCGATTCTAGGATCAGAGCTTTGGGGGTGCTGAGCACTCAGAGAGCTGCCCAGCCAGGCAAGATAAACTTTACTCATCATGATGAGTCTTCTTCCCTGTCTCTGTCAGTCCCTGCATCCTTAAATGTCTCCAGTTGTTCCAAGTTCCCTCTGACTGTCTCCTTGGTGTATTTAAACCCCTGTTCCTCCCTGTCCTCATCATCTGTTGTCTTCATCTCCGTTATCAGTCATCATAATTTTACCATATCTGTGCAAGTCTGCAAATTTTCCATAATAATTCATAAGATTCTTAAATTCATCAAGAAAGAAGAAGAATAATAATGAAGAATAATGAATGATGCTCATAGCGAGTAAAAAGTAAACTAAGTGCATTTTTTGGACAGAGATGAACTTTTAATGTGTATGTATAATACAATACGATACCGTATATAAAAATACACTCCAAAAACAGAGTCCTTGAAATGCACAAATGTACAAAATATTGATTAAAAATTGTAAAAATTGAGGCAACTTTGCCTATGGTACAATGTATGAAAAGATCTTTATTGACGATACTACTATGGCTCTGCAGATTTTTTTCTTTTATTTTAACCTATGTCGCCTCACCTTGAAGTTGGCAAATCACTTTTGCTGGTCAACTCTCTCAAGCGGTTAAACAGTTTCTGTTTTCCCTGTCACTATTCCCTGTCTGTTTCCTTACCTGGTTCTTCCTGAACTTGTACTTTCTCCTCACGTTCCCCTCTTTCCTCTCTCCCTCTTTGGACTGACAATCATACACAAATAGATTGTATTCAATTAGATGAAAAATTACATTAATATGAAAAAAAAAATACTATTAAGATCACTAATAAAAAAGTCCTCTCTCAGTGTGTTTTCACCACAAGGTAAATAACCAAACCACATGTAAATCTAATAAAAGATATAAATATTGAAACACTGATCCAACATTATCCTTTACTGACGGATCATTTGTTATTACACTTTTACCTGAATGTGGCTCCTGGGTTTAATATCGGCACAAATGACAAAATAACCAGATTCTCTCATTCCATTTCAAACAGGACAGTGGTAACAACAGTAGGCTACGACAATTTTAAGTTTTAGATTTTAAATAGGCTGTATACATTTCAATGGGAGCAACAGGACGGTCAAATGTCGCTGAATTTACTACAGAGTAGGACGGATTGTAGGGTAGCAAACATCATTGGAAAAGACGTTTTCAACACTGCAGGTTACCTGGGTGTAATGTTTTTCAGCCAAAAAGAAACATGGTGTGACTCCTACCTAACTATATAAAGAGTAACTTAGGGTTAAATGCAGCTAACATGTCCTGTTTTAAGCCAGGCACTTACACCTCCGCTCCGCTGCGTCGCAGCCACCATCGCTCTGGCAGCAAGAGCGCTAGAGCCAGAGCAGGGGAGAGCTGGAACAAACCATTTTGAGAGGGGGGGTATCTGTACTGTTATTGTTAAAATGTTACGTCTCAACCTATGTACTGTATGCTTTTTATATTTTAGTAGTGTGTCACACAAACAGCAAATATTGTCAAAAACAGCAAGAAATCTTTGGGGGTGCTTTGATTCATTTTGCTGAAGCACCCCAAAAATGGGCTAAAATCGCCCCTGCAGTCAAGGTTGCTAAAAGGGAATGCAAAAGATTTTGATTTTGGTTTGCCACTCGTCCTACAAACATTCCATGTGGCGCCATAATCCAGGCCCTTGGTTACAGGGCCCCTGAGGTCATGTTGGGTATACCTGTGACTGAATCTGCAGACATGTGGGCTCCTGGTTCTGTCGCAGCTTTTCTGTAATTGGGCTACCACCTGTTTCCCGGTATGTGTGAATATGAAATGATTGGAAGTTTTGTTCACATGCTTGGTCGGCCTAATGTACGGAGCCCCGCAGGGGACATGGGAGAAAAAAAAATTAAGACGGACTTTTGCGAGATCTCGCAAAACAAACTCGGGATCTCGCAAAACTTTTGCACAGCAAGAACTATTTCTGGAAGAGAAAAGGGATAATGAAACACACATGGGTAATGAAGACATCAGTTCAGTATTCAGTATCTACAAGCACTGTGATCAAACAAAGTAAATCAATCACAGACAAGTTCACATGCATGGGAGATTTAGCCAAACACCACCCACAGCCAAACAAAGAATCCGAGAAGCCTGTTCAAATGGATGCTATGTGTGGATCCTGTAAAAAGAATGACACCTGTTGAGGGTCTGGGAGATCGTTTTATTACAATGAAACATCTTCCTGAGGACCCTG